ATGAAAGATTTTTTTCAAGAATCTGACAAAAATGGAAATTTTATAAATTTTAAAAAATAAAACTTTTGAAAATCAGATAAAAATTCATTTTTTTAAATATGTTGAAAATTCAAATTTTTAAAATTTGTAGAAAATTTAAATTTTAAAAGCTAAAGCTTTTAAAACTTAAATTAAACTATTTATATTTTGTGAAAAACAAGATCAATTCCAGTTAATAAGCTTACCTTTATTCAATCATGCACTAGAACTCCATCATCTACTCTAGAAACAATAAATGTTGTTGTTCAACATATCGAATCTAAAGCTGTAAAACTGAAGAATATAGAAAAATAAAATTTAATCCATGATTGCTTTTTTTGCTCCCATTTATTTTATAATCAGGACTTTTTATTTTCCTTCAATTTCATCTAGCAATTTTCTTTCTTGCTTTATTTTTTATCGTGTTTATCTAATATTTTCTTTTATGATTATTGAATTACAATATTCATTTTTTTATATGTGAAATTTTTATCAAATTTTTCTAAATTATTTTTTTTTTGGTTTCTTTTGAATATTTTTACATTGAATTTTTTACACTTAATTTAATTTTTTAACTCAAGTTATTTTCCTGTTTTTATCTGGTTTCATGAAAATATAATAAAAATATGTTTTTTTTTCAACTCAATTCATGAAAAATTAATTTACTTGCTTCTGAGTCAAACAGCGTAAAAATATCATAGAAGTAAAATGATACTTTCAAGACCACATTCATGTCTTCTACACATTTTATTATATGACTAAGGTCAGTTATCTTGAACTTAGTCATATAAACAATGATAAAAGAAAACATTACTGAATGGAAGCTTGCCAGCACTCAAGAAAACAGACATTGTTGCCAATTTATTATTAAGTATTGATAAAATAAAGATAAAGTTGACATTTTTTGAAAATAAATTTAAAAGCTTATAAAAAATTATCAAAACTGTTATGAAGATTGTAACTCGAACAAACATTTTTTGCCCACGTTTATTCATAACTGTGTTTTATTTCATTAAAAATGTGTGTTTTTATTTCATTTTGAAACACAATTAAAATTGTTTTAGTTACAATCTTTAAAAAACGATCTTAAAAAGCTTATTTTTAAATAAATTTTGAAAGTTTGTTTTCTTTTTGATAGATTGAACACATTTTTCGTTTAAATTTTTAAATTTTCTTTTGATTTACAATTTTGAGTTTTTATTAGTTTTCATTTTTTTATAAATTTTATAAAAAAATGTTTTCAAAAAAGGAATATATTTTTGACAAAGTTAAAAAACTCAAAATAAAATATGAAAAATCAACAATATAGAAATGAAAACAAAAAATGAAATGTTAAAAAATGAAAACGACACTTTTTGTGCTTCCAAATCTGTGCTTCAATTCCTAGAAATTTCTTATTTAAAATTAGAAGAGAGCATGCTCAATAGGTTTTTTATTATTCTTTTTACGATACCATGGATGCCAATTCTTGTTTGTTTTTGAGTATGCTATAGTTAAGAAGACTTATTGATGCAAAAAATTGTTCAACATTGAATAAAATTTTCAAAATATTTAACAAGAATAAAACCTAATCGAAAAATCACTTTAAAATCATCAGGAAATTAAAGAAAATAATTTTTTAAAAATTACAAAATTATTTCCCAAAACAAGTTTGTTTTTTTTTGTGAAAAAAAATTTAACCTAAAATTGAAAAACTTTTTGGCAAAATAATTTATAAAAATTCTAACAATCAAGATAAAACCAAAAAATGTTAAAAGAAAAACAAACTTTATTTTCACGATAACATTTCATTGTTTATTTTTAATTTATATTTTTTAATCTCGTTCAACAAAAGCTTTTAAAAAGCTCATCAAGCTTTCCAAACAAACCATTTTCATCAAAAGCTCGAGAATTATTATCGTTTTCTACTCTATAACCTCATATTTAATATCTTAAATGAACTTTTTTTAACTTCCACAATGGATTTATGTAAGTTTTTCCATTTTCATGATTTATTGTATTTTTTGTCTATGATATCAATGCATAAGCGGAGAAAAATTTGTGTTTACCATTCTAACTGTTGATTTCAGGAGATGGTATAAAGTTTTTTTTTTCATTGAAATCAACAGTGAACCCTGAAGAATGGTACTCAGAATTTTCAATTGCCATTCATTATTTTTTTCTGGACTTTCTATTTATTTTTTTATTACAAAACTACAATTTCTTATCTAAAAAAAAACTTTATTTCATATTTTTTTTTATTTTTGTTCTTCAAGTTCATCATCATTCATATTCATCTACAGTTGATTTATGTACTATTCTTTATGCTCTTTTATCATACAAATATATTTTTTTGTCTTGTGTGCTTTGTGTTTATGTATATGTGTGTTTATATTCGTGTCTAGTCAAGGTGAGCCAATGAGTCTATGACTTTTGTATATTGCGATTTTATTGATTTTTAACGATTGATTTTTTGAAACCAGAAGGTAATGTTCCACCATTTTTATGTGTACATATTAATTAACTATTAAGTAGCTACTAGCTACTAGTTAATATTATAACTAGTTTGCATTTAGGAATGGTATCCTTAAAATATCATTTTGAACTTTTCTTAATAATTTTAGTACAAAGATTTATAATCCAAGATTAACTAGATAAACCTTACTCATTTATGATTACCTTTTCAATAAAATCACCTTACAAAACCCTTAAAAATCCATCCGGCTCACCCATCTTAGTTTTTGTGGTTTCATTCATTTCATATTTTTTTGCACCATCGCAAATAAACGAGAATAAACTAAAAGAAGGGAAAAGAACTTTTCTTTACATATCTTCAAGTCATAAAAACTCATCTCATTTCGTTTTCATTCATATATAAATAAATTATAGAGTCATGCATAATACAATAAAAAATTCTGTACTCGACTTATTGTTGAAGCTCCTCGGGAAGCATTGAAATGCATATGAATGAGGGAGATAGAATGAATGTAGATAGAAGATTGGACAATTTGAGTTGGTTCGGAATTTTAAAAATTTGTTTATAAAAAGTTTAAAACAGATTTACAAAAATAAATTTTCTTTGTGGACCAACATTTCTTTTTGTTTTACTTTGAATTTTTAAAAAGAGGGCTTCTTTGTGAGTAATAATAGCAGTTCTGTAGCAGCTGTAATAATTGATTATTCCAAAAAAACACATGTTAAACATCGGTTGACATTTGGTGGGTTTGATGTGGGTTATTTGTTGTAACATAAAATTTCTGTTATTTGAACATTATGATTGGGTTGTTGAATGCAAGTATAAGAAGAAAAAAAGTCAGAATATTTATAATAGATTTTGTGATAAAGATTTTATAAAAGTTTGTCAATGTTTAGCTTTACAGCAAACAAAAATGTCTTTTGAAAGGAATGACAACTTGAAATGTTGTTCAAAAATTGAACTTTAGATTTAAAAATTGAACTTAGGTTCAAAAATTTAACTTTAGGTTAAAAAATTGAACTTTAGTTTCAAAAATTAATCTTTTAGTTTAAAATTGAAGGTTGGGTTTGAAAAATGTACTGAAGAATCAAAATTTTAACTTTACATTCAATAATTGCTCTTCAAATTCAATTATTGAACTTAAAATTTAATAAATGAACTTATAAAATAAATTTAAGTATGAGTTTGGCATTAAGATTCAAATATTCATCTTTTGTTAAACTTTCTTCTCACATCAGCAAAGATTGCATTCAACTTACTCAGTAAATTGAAAGGAAATAATGTTGATTTAATCATGTTCATAGCACTTGACCTTATGCCAATCAAATGCCATATCAAACTTATTGTGATACAAAAGTATACTCTTATAAAATTTGTAAATTTATAGAAACTTAAGAGCTGCCATAAACCTTACATTGCAGTTCCTGTACAACATCAAACTTTTCTTTTATAAAATCTTTAATTCAATTTAAAATAATTACATCATTTCTGTGTCTGTGTCGTATTTAAGCATATAAATATAATACAAATTTCTTAACATTATGTTCAAAGCTTTAAAATTTAATGTCAACAATTCTTGATATTTTTTCATAAATATCAGGAAAGAAAATTTTTTAGCTTTGTTCTATTTTTTCAACGCTGTCATTGAAATGGAAGTTTTTTTTTCTAGTTGAATGCTGCTACAAAGGATGAAAAGCTCCTACTATTTCATATGATTTATTATGTTTTCTTCACTATTGTGCGTTCCAGTTTATTCATTTTTGCATTTTTATGCTTGAAAATAAAAATTGTTTTTTGTTTTCAAACTCTACGAGAATTCTTTTATTTCTTAAATTTGCTGCTGGATGATTTTATTTTATTTTCTTGTGCATGAGAAAAAATTATGCATATCAAGCTGAAAAACTTCTTTTTCCAGCTATCAACATTTCATAAAAATTTGAAATGTAAATTTTTCTTTTCTCATCTTCAATTAATGAATGCTGAATATTTAGCAGAGAAATGGAAATTTAATTAAAGTAGATCAATTAACAGAACTAATTGGATTTTTACTGACTTGTTTTGGTTGGAGTTTTAAATGAGGATGTTGAATGGTTTCTGGTATTTGTCATTTTGCCTTAATTTGGAATAAATTTGGCGATTTTTTTTCAAAAATAAGGTTTTTTATTCCAAAGTTAATTTTTGTAAGTCTTATGTTCAATTTTTGAACTCAAAGAACAATTTTTATACTTAAAGTTGAATTTTTGAATCCAAAGTTCAATTTTTATAGTAAAAGTTTAATTTTTATACTAAAAGTTCAATTTTTAAACTAAAAGTTCAACTTTTGAACAAAAAACCTAATTTGAAAACCTTAGTTTCAACTTATGAACTTTAAAGTTATTTCATTTAATTTTTTTTGTTCTACTGAGCCTGATCATTTCCAATAAAAATGTCAACAATCCACAATTTAAAACCATAGCTATGCAATGCTAGCTAAAATCCAATAAATATTCAACAACCATTCAAAATCAAAGCAAGAACGTTGTTTATGATTTGAAATTCAAAACCAAAAGTGTTTCAAAATGATTCTAAAGCTTAAGTGAGAAGAGCTTCTCACGTCAAAAAATCAACTAACATTTTTGCTGATGTTGCATAATCCTCACGGATTATATTTCATATCGTATTTTTTCAGAGAGCAAAAAGAAATGAAATATAAATTTTTTTGTGCTGAAACTAAAAGCATTGCTGTCATTCAAAAAAAAGCATACATACGAACCAGATATACGTGTACAAACGTGAATAAATTTGTTTGGCTTTTACCTTGTCACCTAAATACAATATTTTTTATACCATTCTTAAAGCTTCATTTTTTTATCATTTTAAGTTGCTTAATTTAAAAACTAAATGAATATGATTTTATTCACTAATGATTATTTTTATCATCGAATATTGTACTTGATTTTTCTTTTCATCTTTAATAATATTTACATGTGTATGTTAATTTTAATTTAATAATCTATCTTCAAATTCATTTTTTTTTTCATTATCATCATTATTAAATATAATTAATCTAATAATCTAAAATTTATTTACTATATTAGTGAGAGCATTTAGTGGGGGATGAGTTGGGGATGAACATTTGAAGAGAAAGAGCTAAAAAATATTACAAATGCACTAATCCGTCTACAGCTGATGACGTGTGATTATTACTAATGCTAATTCCATTATCATGATTATTACTAATTTTATTTATATCAATATTATTATTATTCATGTGGTGCAAATCCTAGAGATGTGTCACTTGATAAGCCTGATGCTATTTGGATGTCGAAATGCCTGACATCTCACCACCGGTTCCGGTATCAGTCGGACCTTCAGCACTACATACTGAATCTTCGGGTGTTCGCGATGGTTCTGCTTCCGTTATTTCCACTTCCTGACTTGGTGGTGGTCGACGATGTTTTGCGCTCAGTGCCTTTATTTTACAATATTGTTTTTGTTTTTGATAGTAAGCACAGTGTGAGTGCGGATGGGATAAGAAAGCAGAGAGAATAAATAAATTTTAAAATAAGAATGAAGCGAGAGTGAAAATTATTATTTTAAATTTTTATTTTATTTTTTTTTATGATTGTGAAAAGGAAACAGTCCAGAAAGGAAAGTAGGGAAAAGGGAAAGAAGAACAGAAGAATATTAAAAATGAAATGAAAAAATTCAACACAGAATGATGAATATTGCGCATTTTTCGCATGTCTGAGAAGATGAAAATTCAGTGATTTTGGTGAGAATTTCAATGAGCTTTTAAGATTTAAATATTCGAGACCTTTAACGAACTTTTTAGATTTAAATATTCAAAAACTTTTAAACTTCTATTATTTATGTTTTTAAGAATGTTAAGAACTTTTTTGATATAAATAATTGAAAATTTTAGCGGACTTTTTCAAATTCAAATGTTTGAGACACATAAAAAAATTATTATATTTCAATATTTAAATTTAAAAAAAATCAAATTTTAAAAGAATAGACATTAAAACCTGTTAAAACCCAATGTTAGCAAAGAGAACAGCGTCCGTTACAAACAAAAAAAATTCAAAATTTTTGCGCGGTATTTTTTTAAAATTTCAAAATAAGAAAGTCCGTTACTTTTCATTTTTTTTAAACTAGCTGTTTTTTAAAGCATAAACATTTAAGGAATGCAATTTCATCACAGTGATTATCTTAATCATAAAAACTACTAGGAATGTTTACTAAAATTACAAATTACTCGAAAAATAATAATTCACAACGAATTTTTTTAAAAATAAGAACTTCGAAGATTCGATTTTCGACAAATAAGAACCTTAAAAATTCGAAGTTCGAATAATAAGAACTCAAAAATTTCTGTTTGCTAGCATTGGATTAAAACGATTCAGACAATAAATTAGACTATCCTGAAATGTTACAAAGTTCAAAAAATTCATCATCACTTCTTCTACAGTAAATTTTGCTAAAAAGTTTTGAATTTTCAAGCTCATGAGACCTAAAACTTAGCCTATAAAACCCCAACCTTAAAACTCATCAACTACAATTCCCAAACTGGCCATTCATAAAATTCACAAATCATTTCTCCTCCAAAATTCCACTAATTTATTTCTTTTGAATTCTTGATGAGTACTGGCTTAATTTATTCCTTCATTTTCAAGTAATTTTCATCCATACCAGTGTAATGTATACCATAAGAATGGAAATCATAAAAAAGTTTAAGGAAGTGAATGATTTTTATCAGCAAGCGGAAATTTACCAAAAAAGAAATTTTCATTTTTAATTTACTAACACAAAAAATATTTCTTAGAAAGTTTTACTCCCTAGTGAGTTTATTTTTGATGATTTCAGATTTTTTTATAGCCATTATTTTGTTGGATTGAAGTTCTCTCCTTCAATTTAAAAGTTTCAATTTATCTATGGCTGAGAGAAGCAGGCAGGAGAGATGTGATAAATTTGAATTGTGAAATGTTTCCATTTATTTCATAGAATGCATGAAAAAATCGTATTTTGATGAATTGAGAAAAACTTTTCGTGTGCTGTCGGTATGAAAATGGCGTTAAATGTAATCCGTATAATGACTTTTTCTGTTGAAATTTGAACATTGTTTTATGTCGACTCTCCTCTATTTTTTTATATTCTATGTTTGAAAAATTTTAAAATATTCTAAAATTTCAATTACAGCAGCTCCACAAAAAGCCAATTATTATTCCAATCTTGAACTGCAAGCGAACTCGTTACTAACTTAATCATGACAAAATCTACTTTATATTATCCAGTTTGGTTTACAAAGTTTTCAAATCCAACATCATTATCATTACCAACAATAGAGATTTACGAGAGATTCATATGTATACAAAACATTTCCATAAAATGTAGCTCCATTAATGCAATTCGTCATGACACTCGTAGATTTTACATTCTACTAAAATTAAACATGATGCATCACTGGATACATGGCACTGGTTTAGGAATTCATTTGCATAACGGAGGATAAAATTTCTCGATTCAGAATGAAGTAAAAGTCTAATAAGAGATAACATTTTCAAATTTTTTTCATTTTTCTAGAAATTCTACAATCTACATTCACTATTTTCAAATGCATATATTTATGTATAATATTATTATTATGCTTAGCTTATTCACTGATTAAATATTCATTAGACAGGAGCGTTTTGATTTACATTCTCTAATGAATTTCTTCTGAAAAATAATTTTCTTTCTACTTCTTACCTTTATTTTTGATCTTTCTAGAAAGGTTAAGGGACTCGGCGAAAAAGTTGGGATTTTTTTTTCAAAACTTTAAAAAAGATTTTGTATTTTTTTGAAAGTGATAAGATTTAAACTTTTCAAAACTTTAAAAATTCTAAATGTTTAAAACGGTTAAGATTCTAATTTTTGAAAACGGTTAAAATTCAAATTTTTGAAAAAGGCTAAGATTCAAATTTGTAAAACCCGTTAAAAGTCAAAATATTCAAAATATTTAAAACTCGGTTTAAAATCTAATAAAATAACACCATTTCAGAGCACTAAATCAATTCCATCAAATCCCTTATAAAGAAATAAATTCCAAAAACGTGTGAATTAAAAAAATTAAATATAGAAATTCGCTAGCGAATGCCGTCTATAAAAACTCAATCTTATGATATTTCTTTTACCCCGAAAAAAAAGTAAATGAGAAAATAAAGGAGAGATAAAAAGGTACAAAGTACATTTGAAGTAGAACCGGAGAAAAATTACAGGTTGTTCCTATTATGTAAAATTATCCATTACCATTTTTTTCTTCTTTGCCTCACGGAATTATATTTAACATGTTCGCTGAATTGCTACAGCTTGAAAATAAATAGCAGAACGAAGCGCAATTTTCTAAGAGGGGGAAAAAGCTAGGTATGAAAATTTAATGGAAAAATAAATTTTGAGTTTTTTCTACTGTTAAATATTGAAGACCTAAGCAATTCGAAATTTGTCATCCATTTTATTTTCTTTTTGCTTTAAAAGCACCTCTTAAAAGAGCTTTAATGGCACTCTAGATGAGGGTGAAAATTCCCCACAGGCAAAAAAAAAATTGAAGGAAGTGAAAAAAACAATTGAGAAATATTTGGACGACCTCGAAGCTTTCTTCATAAATTTTGAACAGAGTTGTCAGCATAAAAGGGGTTGAAAGCCATCGAAAAAAAATTAATAAGTGTCATGGAATTTGAAGAAACATTTTCCACAGAAATTCTCTTAGACATTCCAGAAAGCTAGCTTGAAGAATGTGATGTAAACTACATCTTGCAAGTTTTTTGATTCATTTTGTTTCAAGACATGGGTCGATATGCTATGAAACATTTAATAGCTTCATTCTTCATTCAACTTGTGAATATTTTACGAGAGGTGTGAAATCAAGGCATTAAACAATTTCTTCAAATTGCATTATAACTTTTGAACTTAAGGTCTAGATTGACTTTATACTTGCTTTATATAAGTCTTCATAATATGGAAAGTATCAATCTCGCGTGTGTCCTATTTTGAGTTTCATTTAATTGAAATCAAGAACATTACATAGGCTTGGTTAGAGAAAGGGGGTTAGTGGTCCGTGGGATAAGCAGGTCTGCATCTCAATTAAGTTCTAATAAAGTCCAGCTATTGTAAACTTTCTTTTTTGCATTGATATGGGAAAAAATTAACTCTTAACTGTAGCTTAAAGAAGTTTTTCCGTTAAAAGGTAGAGATTGACCTTAAAGTGCACTGGCTTCACCCTCAATACGAATAAAAAATTATTTCTTGGATGCAACTTTAGTGTCTAATTAGGAAAAATATCAATGTTGATCAAAAATGGATGCTATTGTTTAAGTAATTCTCAAACTGATAACACTATGATTCTTTTTGGAAACAACAAATAAATTCTCAATCTTCAGAATTCAATTCACTTCCAACTCTGAGTTTCCTCAAAAAAAAAATAAAGTAAGTAAAACATTTAATCATAAAACTTTGCTTCAAGAAAGGAAAAGAAAGAAAGTTTATGAAGTATTATTTATTTTTCTTCCTCACACTAAAACAAAATATAAATTTTGAGCATCTCTCGAGCACTTGAGGAAGTTTTACATATTTTGCTGTATCATTGCTTTTGTTCTTTGTTCTTTTCGGAGACAAATTTTCATGAGAAATAAGACAGTGAAAAAGGATACAATAAGACATCTAGCATTGTATTTTTTGTTTCATAAATCCATAGGAAATATGTTGACTATGGTAAGCTATAAATTCTCATCCAATTCATTCAAGGAATTATAATTATAGGTTCAGACTTTATATTTTGTAAGGACGTTCTATGGATTTCAATATTTGCAACTTGAAGAGACAATTTGGGCGTTGGATATATCCACAACATTTACACAGTCAGCTATTGTTCTCAATTCGGCTATTCATTGTTACAATAACGGATATTAAATGATAATTGAAGATTGTGATGACGATAATAACAGTTATGGTAATAAAATGGCAATAAAATCAAACATATCAAATTGAATTTAATTAATATCCAGTTGATTGCAAGATATAATTATTAATTTTGGTTTTTAATTGATAATTTGTGGAAATTTAAAGGGTTCGAGTTGCTATGCCTTTGTGACATAAAATTAGGGTCACGAAAACTTTAATTTGAGTTTAAATTAATTGATAACTTTATGGTCTGATCTAGCTTCTATTAAACATTTTTAATTTTAATTAATTTTACGAAAAACGTAGAAAAAGAAATTTTAAAAAAATGTTGAAAAAATTCTTGATTTTAACTTTTTATTTTCTTTTGCAAATTAAAATTTATTTAAAAGGTCGTTCAAAAATAACTGTCATATTTAAAAAATAAAAAATAAATTTCCAAGAATTTGTATTTTTAAAGCTATTAGAAATCACATGTAATGTCATTTATGAATGATTCCTTAAAAAAATCAAATGAAAATCTTTCAATTTTTAAAAAATTGAAAATTTTGTGCGAATATGAAAGTTTTTTTCTAATCTTTACGCTTTTAGGCTATTTTAAAAAATTCTCAAAAAATTAAAATATCAAATTTTAAATCATCGTCAAAAAAAAGAAAATTCTGTAATATCCACAAATAACTTATCAGGTTTCATAGGATTTAATAAGATTTCATATAAAGAGTTTAGTAACATAATCATAGAGAGAAATAGATATTAAGAAGGAAGAAGTGGAAAAGGTTTTAAAAAGAAATTATTTATAAAAGTGAAATTTAGAAGAAAAAAAACAGGGCAGGAATTGGCAACAATATTTATGAATTTTTATTATCAATTTACCTTGTCACGACTTCCTTTTTTCTACAGTTTTCAAACACATGTTATGGGTATATTGAGACACACACACACATGTGTTTTTATTGGAATATTATTCACGGAAGAGGTAAGAAAGGAGAAAAAGACACGAGACATATTTATTTGGTATTTACAGATTCTTTTATCGCTGTTCACAATTTTTTATGTGTTTATATATTTTGCATAAGTAACAAACAATTGTTTTGTGTGTGAGATGCAGTAATTTTCAGGGATGGGGATATAAAACGAAACATATAAAAAATGTATAGCAGAGAGGAGGAAGCAAACACGAAATAAAATATTTATAGTATCATTCTTAAGGCATAAATATGTAGCTAAAGGATAGAAGTAAGAACAATACAAATTTGTTGATAGCCACACATTTGGCACAAATTTAATTGATACTTTATATGGAAAGCAACAAAATGGTGTGAATAGGGGAGTGGGAAGTGAGCAGAATATTAAATTTATCGTTCACAAAATGGAGTCATAGGTTAATAAATATTTATTTTTAGATCTATATCTAAATGGAGAAGGGAAAGTGAGAATAGCATTCAGCAACTACCAACAAAAAAATTAAAACATTCAAGACAACATAAAACGTTTTGCTAAAATGACAAAGGTCTAAATGCTAATTGGCCCATAGACTATAGCACATCTATTATGTCGACAAGACAAGATTTTCATTTCTCCCTCCCAATCTGTTGTCATCGTCGGTCTCATTCATATCAAAGGCCAATAAATTTTAATTTTAATTAGAATAAGAAGAGTGCCTTAAAAGGTGGTGTAGGATTAACACCATTGCATTTTTAAGCTCATTCTTATTGTTTCACGAAAAATCAAAAAGTGAATGAGAAAAAAAACATTTTCCTTCTTTTGTGTTGAAAAAAAAATCTCGTCATTTCCAAAAGAGACACTAATCATAAATGACGTCTTGTCTTAAAAGTTTTTGAAGTTTCATTGGCTTAGCAATGAAATAAATCAAACAGTTCATTAGTCAAAATTGAAATATCGAGAATAAGTTTTGAGTGACATCATTTATGAATATTCCCCGAAAAATGTAAAGCGAGAACCCGATGGCAATTGAATTTTTTTTCTCTTCTCTGCTTTGAATCTTTCTTGTATATTCATACCACTAGGTAGGCATAACATGAACCTTTCCTCATGCGATGTTATTTAAAACTTTTCGTCTTTTTTTGGAGAGAAAAAAACAAGCGCTTCTTTCAAAAAGGTAAAGGAAGCGACAATAAATGACAAGTACCCGCAGTTAAAAGAAGTTTGAAAGGTCCTTGTAAATTTTTGAAGCATTTTTTTTGTTTTGCAAAGCAACAAGCTTTTTTTGAGCTTTTAAGAGAAATAAGAATTTGAGCTAGCATTTGACACCTAGTGACAATAACTTAGAAGAGTTGGAAGTAATAAATTTTTAAATTATGAAGGAACTTTGGCTTTGGACATGTTCCACCAATCATGTTAAGTGCTACAGAAAATATATTGGTTGCTACTTTTAATGTTGTATCACAGCATATTTGCAGTTTGTGACTTACTTGGTGCCGTGATTAAAAATGGATTCATTGTTTCTCGGAATCTTTTGGAGTTCCAAAACTTTCGTCAATTAATATGAAAATTTGTCATTGATATCATTTTATCCCCAGATTGAAGCCGAACAAGATTTAATATGTAATAGCCTGCTAAAGCCGACTATACTACATACAATATCTTAATTAGCTTTACTTTTGGCTTTTAAAATTACTTAAAAGATAACTTAATCGTAGATTCTTCCACGAAGGAAATCCTACTTAGTTTAACGTAAAATTAAGGCAGCCCCAACTTCAAAAATTACCCATCAACATTACTAGCAAGAAACATCAAATTTCGCCTCATTAACCGAATTCCTGTTTGTCCATAAAATTGAGTTTCAACTCGAAAGACATCGAAATTAAAGTAGTTCATGTTTTCAATTGTTTGAAGTTTTTGTTTGTCTTTATAACATCAAAAGCAAACAGACGACAATTACAAAGTCCATCGTCAAATATATTCTACATATTCGTTTTGGATCAGACTTGCATTAGGGATAAAGTGAGGGTAATTAATGAAAAAAAAAGCATGGATCTAATGTTTGCAATATTCATTGAATTAGTTTTGTTGATGCTAAAATAATTCAATTTCGAGCCACAGGGAAAACGAATCAGACATGCTTATTCCTCTTATTTTTTTGGGATTATTTTGATATCTTATAATTTGCAGAGTTTATACATTCACATCTAAATAGGTGTACATACATAGAATTATATAAGATAACAGACAAAAGGTAATTACATATCTATTATCTATAGATGAATGGATGGAGTGAACGGGGAAAAGATATTATTTTCTACTTTTTTTGCTGGTCTAAAAATAGTCTCATGCCTAATAGAAAATCGATATGTGGATGATGGAATAAAAACAGTAACACTAAGTGATGTAATGGAAGGAAAGAAACAAAATTAATAAAATAAAAAAAAATAAAGTAATGCATTGTCTAACTTCTTATTTCTTAAGTAATGAAGAGCTTTTAGTATTTTATAAAGTTGGGGAACTGTAAAATAAATAATTGAAGCAGAAGATTGATGTGAAAATTTAATGAGCTTTTGTGCAAAACAAATTGACACGTTGAAATATCGAAACGCTCATTTTAAAGTGAAACGTGCAAAAATTGCAATGAAATTTTCATAAAAAAACACTTTTCGTAATTTGTGAAAATCTATTTAAGCACTCGAGTATATTTTATGTATGAATAATGGTAAAATGAAATTTATTTTCTATACTATAGGTGTAGATACTATAGCTTTAAATTAGCTCTAAAATGTTTGATGGATATATCCGTGTACAGAAGGCATGTATTGAATTATAATTTAAGACATAGAACAACTATTGCAAGAAGCTTGATAGTTTAACTCATTGATGGAACTAATTTTATTTTTCTCGGTATTGAGAAATTAAATTTGAATTTTAAAGGATAAAAGCAATAAGTCTAAAATCATAGAAAGTTCAAAATGTTGAGAAATAGTATCTAAAAATCCTTAAAACAATCTCAATAGTTTTGAGAAGGTATAACTTCTAATTAGATGCTTAACAAAAAACATCTTCTCAGAGAACATAAAATTTGCCATTAAAAGCATTAAAGCTGCATGAAAGCACTTCATTGTAAAACCACCAAGACAATAATCTTAAAAATAATGAACTCTACTAACAGTGCCTCAACATCTTCACACTTTTTTACAAGAAAACAAAAACTGAAAAGTACAATACATAAATTTTTGGGAATAATCCATCAGTGCACACGCCTTATTCATGAATATGATAAAATAATAATAAAAAAAATTAAATCATGTACGTGAGATGAATTGAATGTTCGACATCCACAACACAACAATCATAAATAATAAATCGGGAAATTGAATGAAAATTCAATTAAATAAAGAAGTAAGGAAATGAAAGAACAAAAAAAAAAACAGAAAAATAAGCACAAAATCCATGTATTGATTGATGAACCGAAAAATATTGGAAAATAATTCTTGCAAGCTAGAATACTAATTTATCGTGTACATAAAAGGAATTTTTTTTATTCATTCTTGGATGAAGCGTAAGGTGCTGCGTAGGTGCGATAATACCAAGGGTCAGACACTCCAACAGAATTGTAAAGATTGTACAATTCTTCACAATCCATATGGAAAAATTGTAAAGATTGTACAATCCTTACAATCCTTACAATCTTTATATGAGAAGGATTGTAGGGATTGTAATCCGTACAATCTTTATATGGAAAGGATTGTAAAGATTGTAATTCTTACAATCCTTTCCATATAAAGATTGTAAGGATGAAATAATTGTATGGAACATTTAAAAATGTTTTTCATTGGTTATTAGAGAAGAAATATTAATTTAATATTAAAAATTTATTTATTTGAATTTAAAGAACGAAATAAGCTTGATATATCAATTCTGTCCGTTGTAAAACTACGCAGATGGTCACGCTTAAACCAGGGTGATTTAAATCAAAAATCAAATTCAAAATCTTTTTGCAATGATTTTAAAAAAAGGATTTTGATTTTAATCATTTTTTCAAAGGGATTTTTTTTTGGATTTTGATTTAAATCTCTTGCATGAAAGATTTTATTGGGATTTTAAAATCCCTCCATGCAAGATTTTTGTATTCAATTTCTCAAATTATTTTTCAAATCAACAGTTTTCAGTTGCAGTTCCTAATAAGTAAGAATGCAGTTGATCCTTTTTTTGGCCAGAATCTTGCAACTGGATCTTTTAGATCCAAAAATTTCTTAAAGAAAGGTTACAGCAACCAATAGTTCCGTGCTGTTTGACTTGAACGAAATCCAATTCGTGATTTTTTATCTTCTGTGCCTTGCTGCTTGCATATAAATAACTAGACTTTATCAATCATGCCTGGATCTTACTTCATATGAGGATCAACCTGCTTTAAATCCTTTAAAAAACTTAAATATATTTTATTACACCACATTAGTTTAATGAGTCATAAGCAAGAATAGGCACTTGAACTGCCTAGTTCCTTTACATCCACAAAATTTTCATTGCTTTTTCATCAAGGATTCACCTCTTGAAATCAAAATTTTTTTGCGGAAATGGCCGGTTCCTTTCGTACATCAAGGCACAAAAGATAAAAAACACGAATTGGATTTCGTTTCAGTCAAACAGCATGGAACTATTGGTTGCTGTAACCTTTCTTTAAGAACTGCTTGGATCTAAAAGATCCAGTTGCAAGATTCTGGCCAAAAAATGATCAACTGCATTCTTACTTTAGGAACTGCAACTGAAAACTGTTGATTTGAAAAATAATTTGAAAAATTGAATACAAAAATTTTACATGGAGTGATTTTAAAATCCCAATAAAATCTTCCATACAATAGATTTAAATCAAAATCCCCAAAAAAATCCCGATACAAAAATGATTTAAATCAAAATTTCTTTTAAAAATCATTGCAAAAAGATTTTGATTTTGATTTTTGATTTAAATCACTCACCCTGTTCACCGGTGTAAAAATTAAATTTTTAAAAACTTTTTAATGAGTTGAAATGTATAAAAAATCATTCGAATTGATTCACGGTAAATTATTGCATTTTAAATATAATTTTTTTCAAAGAAATTTCAGACTTTCTTCATTTTTTGTATTTTATCTTATTTTTTAAAAATAAATGGACATTATTTTTTGTTTAGTAAGGATTGTACAGCATGGACAATCCTTACAATCCTCATATAGAAAGATTGTAGGAATTGTACAATCCTTACAATCTTTATATGAAAAGGATTGTAGGGATTGTAAGGATTGTACAATCCTCACAATTCGTATGGAAGGATTGTAAGAATTGTACAATCCTTACAATTCTGTTGGAGTGTCTGACCCTTGGATAAAACATGATGTTGTACTATTATGTTCTTTAAGGAATAGGAATATTTTATGAAGCTGTGTATATAATGCATAATCACGCTTATTGAGATAAAAAATTATCCAATTTGTTTTTTTTCGTGCTGTCTTTTGTGTTTTAAGGTATTAAGTACATACACAAAAAAAAATAATAAAATGTATGGCAAGTTTGTGAGGGAACAATGATGATAATAACAAAGGGAAGTGAAAAGAAAACAAAAAAAAATTGTGAAAAATGGCGTGCTAAAGAATAATGATAATTACCTGCAATGAGAACCGCCGATGTGCTACTTTTCGTCCTCCACGACGCTTCGAGATATGGGGATTGCCTTGACAGAGCGTCTTATTTTTTAAATATTCTAATTGTGTATACAGTCTGGAAAGAAATTTGATATATTATTCATTCATTGTACAATATTTGGGTATTTGAGGCTTTAAGGCAGTGATGGTGTGGATGGAAAAATTAAAATATTAAGAATTATTTGCGAATTTAAAGGTGTCTGATGGAACTTGAAAAAGCCAATTTTTATACCTTTTAGAATTTTTGAAATTTTGAAAATATAAAGATTATAATAATTTTGTTTAAGAAACTTTAAATATTAATTTTTTTCTAGAAAGTTTTAAAATTTGAATTTTTATAAATGTTGAAATTTTGAATATTTTTTAAAAATTTTAAATTTGAACGTTTTAATATAAAAAAAAAATAAAAATATAAATTATAAAAAATCAAATCTTTTAATCGAAATTTAATATTTAAAATGAATAATTTCTTTGCCCTCATTAACCTTTCAAACTCATCAGATCTTTCCGATTAGATTAGCTCATCATCATTAGAAATCCAAGCCAATTCAAAAAAAAATCCGATCACAAAAAATAAGTAATTTCCAAGAAAATATTAACCCTTTTCTCACCTTTTTAATTCAGCTCGAATTTCCTCGGGACTCATTTCAGATATCGTTAAATCTCCTATTTCCGGATCCCCAATACAGATGCCAGCATATCCGCTTAGTCCATGATGATGTGAACTCTCCGTTGCACCCTTGAAACCGTACACAGGAAAACGAAATGAGACATCCATTTGGTTCGAGGGTAGAAGCTTTTTTATATGTTTTTCATGTTTTTTTTTAACAAAAAAAAGTATTTTTTGGGATCAACAGTTAACGAGAGATGAGAGAGAGAGAGAGAGATAGAGAGAGATACACAGTGATAGAGAGATACAATATGATGCAAGGGATTTCGTTAATTTAAAATAATCAAAATTTAATTCAACAGAAAAAGAGTTTGAGGATATACATGTCATATACGTAATAATATCACTTTAATATCAGTACAACGAAATGAAAATGATGATTACAACATTTCCATTTGTAGCATGTGCAAGCATGACAAAAGCTTTTGGGAATTTTCATGGCACATATGTACATATGCATGTCACTATGCCAACTATTATTCAAATGATTTTTGCATGAAAATGTAAATTCTTAAGCAAGGAAATGCTATTGTTAGTTTAGGGATTGTTAAATTTCAATAGAATTCAATTTTGGGATTTTTACTAGATTCTTCTCTAAATTGAAAGCATCTAATTGAGATGAATATGTTACTAAAGTAAAATTCCAATTTTGAAATGAATTAAAATGAGAATTGAGGAATGAAACTTTTAAAAGATGATTTTTACTGTCGTAGAGTCAAGACGTAGCTCTAGTCTTATAATTATAACAAAGTTGAATCGTTGGGACGAAAACGACATTGCAGAAACTTTCAACATTAAATTTTGTGACATCTGGGGTTCAGTTCCCATCATATTCTTATTTATCTTGACAAAAATTGTCTAATCTAAATAAGAATCTGCCCAACTTCGTATTATTTGCAATATCACAAGAATTTTAATTAACTTTACTAAAAATGCAGCCCATCAATCCACAACAAAAAGCCTTTCATCGATATCCTTCCCCCTTCAGTTTTCTAAGAAAACAAAACTTTTGTACATCATCATCCAAAAAACAATTTCATTTTCATCACATATGCTCATCACATAGGATGATCAACATGAAATAAGGGGAAAAAATCCCAATATAAAATATATAGTGACCTCCCATCATCGGATGACGCAAATTACATGAGAATATTTTGGGTTTATCATGATAAATAAATTCCAAGCTACAAATCATTAGTCTATAGACACCATTTATCTTTCAAATTTGGTAAACATTGAGACATTTATCATAAACAAAAATATGGTAGAGTAAATATGATCTATGTAATGAATGGGATCAAAATTCTGTTTAAATATTAGCACTAATGGCCATTTATGCTCAGTTAAGTATGAAAATATCAATGTGATTATTAAGAAATTAATTTATTGAAGCTTGTTTGAATTGGAATAAAATCATACTTGCAGTTTTAACATGAAAGATATGTATAGTCAGGATGGAAACAAAACCGAACCGTCTATGTTCCTAGTCATAGCTTTTATACAAGTTTACTCTAGAAATTTAACAATATTTTCTTTCAAAACTTCATTGCAGAGCAAAATTTTCTATCTACGTCAATGCAACTTAAAAGTCTCTTCTTCGTCTACATAATTTCTTTCCAATGGCAACTTTTGTACATGGAAATTCAATTTGTACATCAAAAAAAGAAGAAAAAAAATCTTTTCTCAAAATCATCAAGCAGGATGAAAATAATAATAAAGCTTAAAATATTATTGAGTCGACTAGAACGAAAATTAAATTTCCTATTGATGAATACACAATTTCATTATCCGTATAAATTTAAATTAGCTTCAATATAGCTGAATAGAGAGAAGACTCTTCAGTTGCTCGGAGTGATTTAATAATGTAATATTAAATTTTATAAGCCTTTTTTATTGTGTTTGATGTAACGATGCACACAAAATTAAGCAAATCATAATATTCCATTTATTGAATAGAGGTTTAGAGATTTTGAAGGCTTTTATTGCTGAATTAATAATTGAATTGAATATTTTCAGCATTCAACGCCTTAATTGAATCCATTAATTATTAAATTCAATTAATCTTTGAAGATTTGTTTGAATCTGAACATTTTATTTCACATCTTTTTTGAAAATGAGAATGGAATTAAGAAACCAATTACGATTTCAATTTGCGAACAACAATTTCGTAAAGTTTGAGTTATGAATAAATAATTTCGTGCAATTACGTTGAGTGAGGAAGATTTCAAGAACAAGTTTCAAAAACTTTAAAATTAGGAAGTGAAAAATGGATTAGACCCTTAAATAGTTCAAATATTTAAAGCAAGAACTATCAATTTACTGACAAAAGTGATGCGATCATTTTGCGTCAAAAGGACGTTCAATAAAAAAAGATGCAAAAAGACTGCTTCAAATTTACGTTCAGTAAAAAATGATGCAGAAAAAGACTGTCATATATATCAAAACTAATTTACCTCAACGACCTTAAACCCAAAACATCCCACAATAAAACAACATTTAATCGGTAAATATTTTAATTTCTTGTTATTTTCGAAATAATTGTAGATTAAATACATTGAGGTTGAAGCTTCAAATTTCAAAAAACCAAATGACAAGAAACCAAACTTCTTAAGAAGCTTATAAAAAAGCTCACATCAGCTAAAATTAATGTCATCCTACTGTTAAATTGAAATAATTTTGAAAAGTTTTTCAAAAAATTAATCACAACTTTGACTTGAAAATCTAATTATGGTTTCAGAATATGAAATTTCTTGGAAAATTTATGCTCATTAGACATCTCATCAAATTTAATCTTGAAAACGAGTCAAACATATATGAATTGAAAAAGTTTATCGTGTAAAATGAGATTAATGAGAATAAGGAAGAGGAAAAAAAAGTTTTTCATTAATTTTAATCTCTTGTGACATAATATTTGAATATAATCCACCTCTTAATTTTGGAATTAGAGTGAGAATAAAAGGAAGCATGGAAGAAGATAGAATAAGAAACGTTCAGCATAATGAATTTTCCTTACTTCTTCAACATTATACAATGATGTGGAAATAGCAAAGAACTTCGTTGATTAAATTTGCCAATCTCGGTAATGTTATATCGGTTTTAATATAATATCGGATACAAATAGATAGGAAACTAGCATAAAAGTCACTACTTTTATAATATTCGATTATACATTTTCCTTATGCCTTTTTGTGTAGCTCAATAAGAAAAGTTTGGATAAATTTGGTTGGCATTAGATAGATGAGGTTGATGAAAAAAGTAAGTGGTTCCCTGTCCTCCTATAAAAAAAAAATATTGACGCATTGATTCCAACGTTACGAATATCACTTATCACAGACTTAAGTGTGAGGATATTTAAAAAGGTAGATTGCTCGAACTCTACAGCAATACTGAAGATCCAAAAAATATTTTTGTTTGCTCTACAAGAACCTACCGATCAATCTAATCCCAATCATAAAATATAGAGCATTAAAGTCTTTATTAAAAGACACTTGAAGTTCACCAGAACAATTACCACTTAATTCTGATAATTAATATGATTTTAATCTACTAAAAAACTTTTGAATCTTGTATCTGAACATAAAATGCTCTCCAACTTCCTTAATCCAATCTAAGAGTTTATTAAGTAACTTATAACTACAAAGCTTGTCAGTCAGGAAAAATTTACATCTTCTTTCTATCTTCTCTCATTAAAAAGCTAAGCTCTAACGTAAGAAAAGGAAGCATCAACTTCATTCAATGTCTATAAAGAGACTTTCTTTTATGCTCCACCCTTCCACCATCAGATCGAATTTGCATCAAGATAAGAGTGTTTTTACCGTCTACCTTTCAATATTCAATAAAACGAGCGATATGAATCTAAATCTATCCTTTTAAAAAATCTTCTTTTGAGACTTCATTGAGAAGCACTAGAAATGAATTTTTTTATCGGTGTTCATTGTGAATGGCGGTAAATATAAAGTTGGCATGAGGAAAAGATTGAAAAAATAGAATCTCAATCATATCAATTGAAAAATAAAATTTTAAGCATTTCCGTTCAACAAGCGTCTGTGTTTGAATGAAATTGAGAAAGATGATTTGTGTCTGAAATTAAATTTTGAAGGATCTTTTATGTGCCAAAAAAAATCAGCCTCAATTTATCAAAAGAAAACATGCCATGGAATTTTTATAAGAAATCGATAAGGGGTTATTCGCTTAGAGTGCCCAGCAAAACTTTTGCAACCTCCCTCCTTTTATATAGGAAGTTTATTATAACGATTCATGCACAGCTCCACTCAACATTCAAAGTAAGACATCATAGCTAGCATACCCATCAAAAGGATGAAAAACTTAAATTAAATAATCTATTTTATCACGAAACTTCGCATGTGAGGATTTTGAATAACAACTTTTATGATTTTATTCCGAGGAAAAAGAATCCCTTTTCAGACTTATTGTAACCTATGACAATTCAGATGTGTTGAGGTATAATAAGCAACAATATTATTGAGCTTTTAAAAGAAGTTGATGAAAAACTGTGATAGGATATTAGCTCGTTACCTTTTAAAAGCTTTTAATGTGTTTTTGAGGGTTGTGGACAAATTCATTTTAAGAATTTGAAAATGTCAATCTTGCAAGAGAAATCAATTAATGAGAGAATAAATAATGAGTACTTTGAAACTAATACAAAACTTCCTTTTTAGCGCATTTTTGAAAAGGTTTGTTTCTAAAAGGTAGCTTAATAATACACTTTATTTGGCTGTTCGGCTGTTCGGGGCAACAAAAACTTTTTAACCAGACATCGTAGAGAGCTCGGGTTTGTTTTTTTAAGCTCAGTTCTATCGAGTTATTGGTCGGCCGAAAAGTTAAAAGTCTTAAAACAGTGTATTTGTACTTTAATTAATGATTTTTTTTATTTCATATGAAAAACACGTGTTGGGTGCGTTTAGAAAATTGAATGATTTTCTACAGTTGTAAAGATTGTAATCAGGGTGAGTCCAGAAATTCGAATTTTTTTAACCATAAAAGATTTGAATTCCAAAAAACCGTTAAATGATAAGCCCTTTTCACTAAAATTAATGATCTTCTAATATTCTAATGATCTTAAATTAACGCAAAATAATTAGATAATCAAATACTGATCCCTAACACAAAAATGCGCTTAAGTTTCTCGATCAATAACACGAGGACTTCTTTAATTTTTTATGGATACATGTGAACATCTTAAAATAACCCATAAAAGTAATTCCCATCTGTAGTTTAAAACAAATTTGAGAAAATAAAAAACATCACTAAATTCCAAATGATCCAAAAGCACGCATTAATCCATTAAAAATGATCTAATTCTATTGTTAGAGTTCTAACATTTAAGAAATGTCTCTCGAGTATACATTTAATTTTCTCATATATCAAAAGATGTTGGAGCTCCAATGTTTTTGCGTGATACATAAAAGAGGAAACAAAAGCCTTTCTAATCACATGTGTTTGTGGATGGCTGTTAAAAAATTTATATAGTTGCTAGGGAAAGAGATTTTTAATGTTGCAAATAAAGTATAAATCCTTAATAGTATTTATGACACTTTCAATCTCAACTTGTATTTGTGAAGCAAATTCTCGATCTTGTGGACCAAGTTGGAATTTGAGTGTAGCTTAAAAAGGTTCATTTAATTTGAAAACCGTTGGATTACAGCTACAGAGGACCAAATTTAATGATCAACAAAGGTTCGCTAGTTTGTTGTCAGGCTGCTTTTAAGTGTTTGAGACTGAAACCGAATCGAAAATATATAGGCAACCTAAGAATAACAACTCTGGCTATAAAAAACATAAGAAACTAAGGAAGTCTCCGCTATCTTGTATATTTGTAAATTCAGAAAATTCTTCGAAAGGGTTAAATTGGGCAGAATGTTGATGAAAAAGGGATGAAGAAGAAAATTTCCTCATATTTTTCTGAGCTCTGCATGTACAGCACATAAAATTTTTTTCCGTATATACACAGAAAATATCAAATTAAGTTCCATACAGAATGAAATATTTCCGTTTTTTATCACAAAAAGAATTTATATCAGTAGCACAGCTAGAGATTCGACAACAGTACATGCAAATTGATGTTTCCTAGAGAGAAAAGAAAACTTAATATGATCTAATGGGAATCCACATAAGCAGCAATGATGGATTTAAATTTTATACAAATTTAAATTACATTTTCCTTTTATTTTATTTCATTTTTCTCTTGTGCTTCCTCTCCTACACATATATCCCTTTACTGAATGAATTGAATGTACTTAGTAAGACTTGAATTCTTTTTTTATAAATCCCTCATTTTCTTTAGATATGATGTACGGAGTATAATTGAGATGCAGAGCAATTGAAATTATTCTGGATTGATGATGACAGTTAAATATATTAAGGGTGTAATCAGGGGAGATAGATTAAGAATCTTGAGGATGAAGACATTAAAGAACCAGTTCTATAAGAATAAACCAAGGCGTGGAATTTCAGGATTGATCCTGAAAAATCCCAAAAATTCAAAAAACAAATTGATTGCATTTGATGAATAATTTCGGGATTTAAAAGAGATTTCACATTTTCGTGTTTATTGGCTCAGGGATTTTATAGAATTTTTGGGAATAAACTGAGCAGAAGAAAGTCTTTGGGACCTATTCAGATCAATTGTGATCCAAAGTTGCGCTAGGGCGTTTCACAGCTAATGAGAATTTCCCGAGTGAGGATGCACCAAACCACTGCACTCAAAATTAGACCAAATTAGACCTACAGTTTATAGTGGGATCTGAACTACTCCTTCGATGACATTTCTGCCTGTTGCCTACAAAGGAAGATTGTGAGCCTTATTTCTAATACATATGATTCGAAAAAACACAAGTGAAAAATTTCTCATACCCAGTCTCGAGCCCATGATTGCTGTGCCTGTATTGCAATAATTAGGTACCGAAGTACTAAACCATTCCACCACCGAGCCACTTCAGCTCACTTTTATACAAGCTAATAGCTACTAATAACTTCAATAAGAATAAAAATAAAAGGAGTTTAAAGATGTCCAATATTCAAATCAGATAATAAAATGAAGTAAACGAAAATGAAGCAAATGATAAAGTACATCAACAAAGTAAAAATGACAAATGAGGAATTTGAAATAAATATTGATTTTAATATAAATCTAAAGATAAAGATTTATGGCACTCAATCCATCATAAGTAGATTTAAGACATAAAAACAAATCTTTTTGGATTTGTCTAAATCAGTTGGAATAATGAAACGAAAATGCTTGTACTTAGGACGTCAAAAATATTTACGCGAATGAATTTGTTAAGCTCTTACATTAAAACCCCTCGCAAGAAGTTAACAAGATTCTTAAAATTTCCTCAATTTATTGCAATATCGGAAAGAAATCTTCAAATTTATTCCTATCGCCTTCAATTTATGTTCCCATCTTCATTCTCTAATTGAATAGAAAAGCAAACAACAAAGAATGAGAGAAGAAAAAATTGTGCCAATCATCGCCATTGTTGACAGATGCGAATTTCAGCTCATGTAGACGATAAAAATGTGTGAGATATGTCGACTCATAAATATAAATTCTATGATTTCTTTTGCCACATAAAATTTATGTATAATTTATTTTTAGCGAAATAAATGATAAGAAGACTTCAAAGCTTTTGACTGATTGGCTGAGGATATGTGTAGGTTGAGATTTTTTGTGCGGATTTCAATTTTTGGTATATTTTAGAAAATTTAAAGCCTTTATTTGGCTCATTAAAATTTGACTTTTAAGTTGGTCTGACAGCATAAAGCTATTCTGAATAAAGTGGTTTGATTTTCTGGCAAACTGGTGAAATGGCAGCAGTGGCCTAAATGGTAGAGCGTTGGCCTTTCGTGCCAAAGGTCCTGAGTTCAATCCCAGGCCATATCAAATTTTCGAACCTTTTTTCCATTTCACCGTTCTAGTTACGACGCTCGGTTCGTGTGTTGGGTGTAGTTTTAAGGTCTTTGGCACAGAATATGTCTCCTTCGCTAGGTATACAAGGATTTACTAGCATCTGGATGACTTCTTACGGCATCTTGCGCACATAAATTGTGCCTAGGGACATTTCATGGTACATCAGGTCTTATGACGTACTCGTGTCTTTGCAATGCGTAGAGCTTGCAAGTAGTTCGGATCCCACTATAAACTGTAGATCTAAAGGTTATGGTACAATAGATTCTTTACTAATTGGATCGCAGTGCCTCCAGCTGAAAAGTTGGGCCCTTTTCATACATTATTATTCTCGCAAATGCATCTGGCTATGATCCTGTTCTAATGACATAAGTGAATGTTATTGATTTTCGAACCATAACAAAACTACCCGCGAATTCCAGATTTTTATTGACTAAAGCACTAAAAGTTTTTATTTTAAAAGCAAGAGTTTAATCAAAGCTTCTCAAAGTACCTCAATTAAAGTATCTTTCCGTTTCCATCTATTTAAAAAACTCCAACAACCCATGATACCATGAAATAAGCAAAGCGCTTCATCTATTCATCTCAATTATCATCAAGCTTACAGAACTTTTGAAAAAACTTTTCTCATTCTACTGTTCCGGAAGTTTCTCGCTACAAACAAATGTTTCTTCTTTCTATTACGACTTTCATTCCTCATATTTACTGCTAAATTCGTCATGGAAACAACAAAAACTCACGAAATCTTTTTCAAAAAAAAAAAAAAAACTTTTAATGGAAATTATTCAATGAATGAAGAATCTATAGCTAGCACGCTATTAAAATATGAAAATGATAAATCGCTGACATGAAAAGAGTGATATGAAGATTGATTAAGCCAGGAAATGTAAGAGGAGAAGGGCAATGAAATATGAGACATCTATCTATATTAGAATATGAACCTATAATGTTGTGACAACAACATGAAATATTCGGATGTAGGGTGAAGGGATATAGAAAGTTGTAATCCTTCTTAAAGCTTCAATCAACGTTTAATAGATTGACATAATTGAAACTTGAGAAATCATGACAACATCAATGGATAGTCGACAATTTTATAATATATTGAATCATAATTCAGCTTACCTGTCTATGTTGAAAGTAAAGTTTTGGCAGAAATATAAGCACCATTGTGATGGTATTGGTGAGTTGAGAACGTATAAATAGTGCTAAGAACAATGTTGTTGGATTAAATTCCGACAAGTACCAGTCTCTTATTACATAATATATAGTTGAAACAATAAATTCTACAAGTATTGATGCCACGAGATACTGACGTTCCTGTCGACGAGATAACAATCAAAAAGAAAGTTTTTTATTTATATCATATTCAACTTACCCCTTTTATTGGACTATTACGGCTGGCATATGCTAATTGGATACCAAAAATCAATATCAACATTTCGCCAGCTTGGGTCACCTGTTGTGTTTTAGACAATGAATATTGAATGAGTTATAATTATAATTATCAAGCAATTAAAAGCTAATCTATGCAACATGGGAAAAAGTTTTGTGAATTGCACAATGACAATTTGCTAGCTTATGAATTTCCTCAACTCTAATCATTAATTAATGTAATTATGACAAATTAGTATGACAGTCTTCGTTATAGAATTATTTGGATGACTGAGTAATTTTGCAATAAATCGAACAGGATGCATTTGTCTTATGAAGGTCAAAAAGGTTAAATTTTTCAAAAATATTTTAAAGCTTTGCATGTAACGAATAAGAATTCTTTATTCAATAAACTGCAAATAATCACTCAAAGTGAAAAAAAAAAATCAGGTCAAAAAGAAATTCTGCTGACCATCACGAAAATTGAAAATTCTTCAGAACAGACTTTAAGTAGTCATCCGTAAAATTTCAATCAAAATCTTCTCTTGAACATTTTTCCCATTTCTGAACTGATAGAAAGCAACAATTCTATACAGATGATATACTAAGCTCTAATCCTTAAAGAATGTGCTTTCACATCAAAGTAGCAAGTAACTGGAAAAATGGATATCGACAGTGAAGTCGAAATTACTGAATCAAACGTGTGGAATGAACATGTGTTCTCGGACACACACAACATAAGCAACGAAGATGAATAAGAATTATAGAATCCATCAATATAGTAGCAGAATGATGATACTCACGTAATCCCACTTAAGTGGCTTGCACATGTTTAATGTTGTAACATTTTCCATCTCAACATTCCATATCAGTTGACTATAATCTAGATAATCGAAGCACAGGGCAGTAAATGCAGCTAAATAACATAAAACAGCAACAATCATTGCACATAAATAACGCAGCAAATCTAAATCACGAACGACATAACGGTGGGCTTTTCGAGTCCGAAACTCCACCAAATGACGATATAGCTTAAGGACGATCGCACCATAGCAGATTATGAAGCCAAATTCTCGAAGCCATGGCTCCAACATGCACCGTGTTGATGTAGCGGGTAAGAAATGAATGGCAACCTGATAAATATAATAAAAATACATACATAAGCATAATGTCATCAATAAATATTGTAAAAAATAAATTATTTTTTTTTCTTGCCATTTTTTCCAATAAATTTGTCAATTTTTATGGTATTTTATATTCCATTAATAATAAACATTTTCATTCGATTGCCGATTTGTTTTTGCTTCATTTTATGTCAGTTGTCAAATAAAATAGTTAAAATGAAATAACGATCGAAAATTTAGTCTAGGGTTTTTGAATGTCAATTGCTTTTATTCAAATTGCGTATCCACTTTGTCCTTGACAATGCTTGACTTGAAGCGTAGTCAGAGAAAATCCGTTACAATTTGTTTTAAACTTTTAAAATATTTTTAAAATGATTCAAACTTTTTCAACACTTGAACCTGTTGAAAATCACTAAGAATCAAGGATGCCAATTCCCATTTCCACTAATAAAGATCAAAATGCGCATCAATTGTCGATTAAGCACCAAAACTTTGCCAATTTTTTTTTATTTCGTCCATTCTAATAAAAAATATTTTTATTTCACGCTTTAATTCGATGTGAAAACATCCGAGTTGGAAACAACAATCGCTGAACGATATGATGCAATGAAAAGGAAGCAAAGCTAATGGACTAATGGAATCAATTTATGTAAATCTCGAATTCTTTTTTTAATATTATTTATTGATATCGACTAGCGAACAAGCAATTTTTGTTAGGGTTCAGATATCCAATAAAATTTAAATTGAATTCAAGATGGATGGCAACAAAAGAAGAGAGAGTCGATGTGAAATGTCACCGAAATTTTCCGGTTCTTCATCAAGGGGGTCATAATTAACTGTCTTCACAAATTGACTTTTCATGCTCAACTGTAATGAAAGTTATAGAGGCACAGGAAAAATGAATGAAACGAGGCAAAAAGAAGAACAAGTAATCTCATAATGTGAAAAGTTACTTCTCCGAACATTATCCGCTTCTGAAGATTTATGACGATAACTTCAATGGGTTTGTCCTTAAGTGACGTCTAATAATGTTTTAATTTTTTCGACCCCCCCCCCCCCATTTCTCTCATTCTTGCATATTACACAAAACATTTTTATCATTGACCATCATTTAATTCAAACTTTCTCTTAATGCTGTACGTCAATCATGACCGATTCCCAATGTGAAATTGGAAGAAAATAAAAATGTCTATTTGGGAAACAAGCAGAAAAAAAGCGAAAAAGGTAGTCATCTCATAAAAAATTATTTTCTCATATTCATTGAACAATAAAAAGGATGGAATAAGGTATCTAGGGAGGATGGGATATAGATATTTATGTTGAGAATCATTTTGCATGAAAAATGACAAGAGTTAGTCTGATTCTCAAGAAATTATTTTGATGAATATTCATGTAAATTTCCTTTTTATTCTATTGCATACTTTTACCTCTTGTTTTGGGTATTATCAAGGTTTTATTTGATTTTTTTGGGCCAGAGGTTTGGGTTAGGAATAAACTTTTGGAATTATTATAGTTTATAAGCAGATATTTGAGATAATTTGTGTTTATTTGCGTAAATATTTAAATATTTTGGATGATTGAAGCAATTTTAGGATGTAAAATATTTAATAATGTAAATTGAAACTATTGTAATGATGTAAGTAGTTTGAGAGAAAGCTCACTCGCTTAAGTCACACATCAAGTCTAAGAAGCTCATCGAATTGTAAAGTTAATAGATTTTCAAAAGATTAGAACAAAATGAAGCAAATTGATTGCAAGGTTGGAATTGTATTAGTAATCTCCGAATCCGAACAGCAATACAAAGTCCCAACAGACGTAATCTTAGAGCATCACAAACTTTTTTTAAAGGTCTAAAAAGCTATTTCCTTCTACAGAATTTAAATGTGAACTTCTCACCTTTTTCTCAAGGTCGTGTCGAGGGATGCGAATTGAACTTTAATAAATGCCATATTTTTTGTCTGACATTTTAATATCTTACGTCTAAATTTCAAAAGTTCCAAATCCTTCTCAAATTATCAAAAAAATGTCCCCATAGTTATCACAAAATATATTCTAAGTATGCATACCTTTTCTTCTAATATCTTACTTCTTTTACTTCTTCCTTTTCATTTTCGAATTCAGTTCCATCTCTCATAATTTCATGCAAGAGCTTTCGTTAAATTCACCATGAAACACAGAAGAAAAGAAGTAAAACAAATGATTATACAGGCACAGAATGAGACAAAAAAGGTAGCATAGAAATTTTTCTTCTTTGTTACGTTACGCATCAAAAATTTAATTCTATTAAGCAAGACAAAGGATATTATTAAGATGGAGAAATGTTTTCAAAAATCCAAAAATTTACTCAAAATAAGACTGCAAGCAAAATTTGAACTTTGAAAAAACGAACTTTTTGAATTTTCAGTGGCTTTTTGGAATTTTTGAGAGCATTTTTTAATAAAGCGCTTTTTGATTTTTAAAGCTTTTTGAAATTTTTTAAATCGTTTCGAATTTTAAAAAGATTCTTGATTTTTAAAAACTCGTGTTTTTATGAGCTTTTTAAAATTTTAAGAGCTTTTTAAAATTTTAAGAGCTTTTTAAAGTTTTGAAAGCTTTTTGAACTTTTGACAGCTTTTTGGATTTTTGAAAACTGTTTAAATTTGAAAGCTTTATATTGTCGAAAACTCAAAGAAAAGATTGCAAGCTTCTTTTAAAACTTTTAATCCAAAAAAGCATATTACGAAAGCTGTTAAGTGCTTTTTGCAAACTTTTTAAAAGCTTTATATCTTTTTGAGTTTTAATGAAACTTTTTAAAAAGTTTGAAACTTTTCAGAAGCTTTTGAAATGATTCTGAAAAAATTTTCTTCTGACTAATCTTTCAAATCTTCAAATTAAGCTTCAATCCCCTGATAAACAATTTAATGCTATATGTTTTCCATCCATTCCTATGTCATTGCTATTATTGTCTCTTTATGTATGTGTAGTATCATTAAAAAAATTTTACTGAACCGACATAACAACATCCGAACGATAAAGATAATATTTTTAGCAAAAGAAAAGAACATGAATTTTCATAAGCCTCAAAAAAGAATTTCTATGCTTTGTTCCAAAGCAAAAAAAAGACGAGCTAACCATAAAAAAATTGACAAAAGAGCTTAGGAACGCAGAGCTAATTTTTTTAATGTCTGTTATTTGATGCAGATGACACACCATTAAAAAATTTCATATTATAAAAAATGATGTTGAGGATGGAACAAAGTTTTTTATTCAGCACAACTGCCTATCTTCATTCACATTTCATTTTCCCTTCTTTTCGTAAGCAAATTCATTACAACTTTTTAATTGCTACGGTGTCCATTGCCGCAAAAATTATGATTATGATGATGATGGGTTTTTTTAAGGAACAAAAAAATTTTTTTGTGTCTTCTTGGTACATTTTTGAGGTTGTTTTGAGAGACTGTGAATGATGAATGTTAGGGAGTAAATTTCTATTGAACTATTTAAGGTTGAATTGAAATATTTTAAGTGCTCTGCATGTGAAATTTATGATTTAAAATGCTACAAGGATGTATAATCGTGGCTTGGAGCAAGTTTGGGATAATATTGGGGCTTCGAGATGAATTATTTAAAATCTTCAAAGCAAGTCTAAACACTTCCCTTTCTAAATTTCAATTATTTTTCACAATTTCAAGTTTTTTATTCCTTAAAACAACAGTAACTAAAGATCATAGATACTGTGTCCTTTAAATGCTCTATCTCATCCCATCCATCAACTATATTACTTCATAAATTCATTAACCCAACCAAAATGACGATTGTTGAACCACATCCGCTCATTAAGAATTACAAACAAAAATAGACATAATAGGCATAAAAAATAAAAGAGTAAGCAAGTCATGAGATAGCAGGAAATTAAAACTCATTTTAACATAATTAATGTAATTCTATCCTTTTTGCTTTGTTTTTACAATTTTTATATCCAACAGTAGAACTCGTGAATCAACTGATAACGAACAACACACTTTCGTCCTTGACTTGGACATCCACAACTGGCTAGTCAGACAGACAGATTTGAAATGTGTGTAAAGAGTAAAGGTTTGATAATCCCACAGTGAACTTATCCCTTTTTTCGATTGCCACAATCATTTCTGTTTACAGAATGTCAAGTTGAAAGCCGAATTTTTTTCCCATTTTGTTTCTCTTCCTTATCTTTAAGTAAGATTGTATGATTACTCAAGAGATATAAATTTGCGTAGGTGAAAAAGCAAGCATCAGAAAAGAATCAGAAAAAAATACGTAGATGGGAATGAAGCATAGCCGAAGGGGCCATTTTTATGTGACCTTTGTCTTAATCATGAGCATGTAAAATTTTTATATCAAACGTTACGACAACAATCATCATCATTGACCACAATTTTTTTTATATAATTTCTTATGTATTTTATGTGTCAGGATTTGGTAGCTGATTGTTAATGACGTAAGGCATTGAGATGTAATACCTCTTTCGTACTATTATCTTTATAGTGAAAACCAACCTACTGCTCCTACCCCTTCATTCAGCACCCTAAAATAAAACATAAGACGTCATCACTGAACCACCCACCATACATGGATGTGCATCAATTTTCATGATATCGAATTTTTTTCTTGAAAAGATGTTATCATTTCCATTTATAACTCTCTATAGATAAATGAGAGATGCGAGCAAACGTGTATGTGTGCTGCTCACATATATGTTTATGAGGCAAACCACATATATTGATCCACATCGGCATGTGGCATGAGGGGATGATAAATAAAATCTCATGCTGCTTTTCATACCTACATCTGTGGCACTTACTATTTTCTTGCCTATCTCACATCCCATATGACCTGATGTGAGAAAAATATGCTGTACGTAATGATATAACAATTAATTGCACGCTGATTACACATTTCGTAATTGCTTTTGCAGCAGTTTTCTTGCCATGACTTTCTGTTGCCTTTACGTGAGTGAACCTTTATCGGTCTCGTCCTTGCTTTATTGTCAATTTTTTGAGCTGATGTGATTCATGTGATGCAAAAATTGATTATTTTTTCGTGTGATGAATATTGATTAATTTAATGAGATTTAATATTCATTAATCTGGGAAGTGCCTTTGGATAGTATGATTTTTGTAGCAATGAAATAAGGTTTTTTATGAATTCTTACAGAAATCTACAATTTTTAAAAACTTTATCAAATTTTTTAAATTTGAAAATAACGAACTTTAGAATTTCAAAAATAAACAACTAGTTGCAACTTTTAACTTAGTTTTCAAATTGTAACGGTTTTCAAACTTTTAAAAAATACAATTTTTTAACCCAAATTTGTAACAAAATTTTAAATTTAAATTTTTAAAATCATAAATCAAAGCATTTTAAAGACTTGATATAAATAAACTTTTAAGTAATCCGATACTCATTAATTAACAACACCCCTTTTCAGTCTACTAGAAACATCCCCAAAAAACCACTTCTGATCCTCTTTTTCTCTCCTTATCAATGTTCTTCAAAGTTTTACTTTCTGTTTCGAAATATTTTCAATTTCCGTTGCCATAGATAAAGCAGTCTTTGATGTTGTCTGTTCCTCTGTCAATTTAAGTATCGCTTTACCATTATGTCATAATATACTTTAATAAAGCATAAAAAAGAAGAAAAAGCGACATTGACAAATTGTTCCACCTTACATAATCATTTTATCACCATCCCAACAGTTGTCATAAAGCAACTTGAGGAAGCAAAAATCTCCTATTTTCTTAAATCGACTGCGCTTACAGTATCAATAATAAAATCATGACGCAATGTGCGTCAATATAAAGAGGTCATAAACCACAATTTTATGATGTGCAAAAAATTAGAGCCAAAGTTACATTCCTTTTATGATAAAGCAAGTTGAACGTCATCGTGGCGGAGAAATTAAATTTAATGAGGTGAAAGAACACAGCCGTAATCATCTTTTTTCCCTCCCTTCTTTCTTACTTTTCTTCTTTTCTTATTTTTTTCGTAAAGATTTTTTCGTTACGATTGTCAAGTGCTCACTTTGCAAAATAGACGATAGAAAGGAATGATGGCAAAAAAATCCTCTCAGTCAATGGACGGAAAATGTTAATGGAAATAGAGAGGAGGAAAATTAGAAGATTTTGGAGTATAAAAGAGGGAGTAAAAATTGTCAAGATATTTGACTGATTTCAATAAGTCAGAATAATGTGCTTTTGGAATTATCTGGGTGGGTCTTCATGTGTATGTGTAATTTAAACTAAATGCTTCACAAAAATTAGAGAAGTTTTTAAAGCGAATGTCATAATCTTATTATGTGTATCGCAAAACAAACAGGTAGTCCCTACTTTCTTACAACTTAACTCAATTTAATACAAGTTTCGAGGAAAATTCAAGAATATTCCTTAAAAATTGTAGAACTTGATGTACTAGATTACAATTGCACATACTAGATTAATAACTCTGACAAAATAATTTATTGTTTGTTGTACGAGATTTTTAAACGTATAAAAAATTGTCCTAGATTATTGATGATGTGGACTAGAATACTGACATTATGTACTAGATTTGAAGTGTATTTAATTTCTTATTAGGGGCGATTCCATGGGTAAATGGAACTGAAAATTTTTGGTTCAAAAACTTTTTTAGCTTTTTCTGCTTAAATATACATATTTCAACATATCTTTTCACTAAATAAGACTTATTATTCATCAATTCATGTATTATTAGCATTTAATCGTCTTAATTATGCTGCATTTTGACAAAAATATGTAATATGTTTTGCAATAATCGGTTGAAAGTTGACCGATTAAGTGGTGTTTTCCCCAATTTTCTCCTTAATTACAGTAGTAAGAAATACAAATAAGATATTGTTATAAAGCACAGGCGATTTCACGTGTGTTTATCATAGATTTGTAACACAACAATGGATATTCAAAGAAATATTGATAAAAATTTAAAAATCAATTTTCTGTAAAGTTGACCGATTAAGTTTGGTTTTTTTAAAATATCTTTTGTCAGACAGATTTAACTAAAAGATTATGCACTAAAATACATAAATACCATAATAATAAATAAAATAAATCTTAAATATGGCGTTAAATGAAGTTAATTAAGGAAATATTTACAAAAAATTGAGTTGAGAAAAAAAAATTCACTCATGGAATCGCCCTTAGATTGTTGTGTATTTGTGCTAGATTATTTCTTAATTTTCAATGAACGTTAGCGATTTAGGACTAAATTATGAAAAACTAGATGTAAAATCCAATTTTAATTATTTTACATTCTCTACCCAAAGACTTTCACTGAATCATTTCATTAAAATCCTTCCTTTTTTCAAAAAATTTATCTAAAGTACTAACCATTTTTGCTTACTCAGAACGACTTGGTCACTTTCAATATTGTTAAACATAGTCCTTCAATTAATTCTCAAACATCAATAAGAAGAGAGAAAGTAGGAAAGAAATTAATGAGCAAGGATAGAAAAAATCAGATTTTAATTATCGATGAGAGAAGAGCAACAAAAATTTTCTTTAATTTTCATTTCATTAATCTTCAAGTAAATTTTTTTTTCTACTCTTATTCCATCATTCGTTCCCTGAGCAATTCATTTCGATGCGCAATAAAGCGAGATTTTTTTTTTCTACCTTTAATTAATTTTCTTTCCCTTCTATACTTCCATATTGAATTTTATTTTCTTCTTTTACGGCAGTTCTTGTATGATTTTATCAACAAACGGCGTTGACGTTGTCATAATAAGGAGAAAAATGGCAAGAAAGTTCAAAAGAACGGAGAGGAAATATGGATAAAAGGTAAAATATATAATATAAAGATTCCGATCCTTACCGCTGAATAAAGGAAAAGAATTCCAAGTAAAATAGTCTCTAAAATAGTCCACATGCCTGTCGCTATTATCTGGAATGGAATTTAATTAAGCAGAAAAATATAAAGGTATTGTTAGAGGCTGTGTATGTATTTGAGATGGGCTAGGTCTTGAGTAAGTTTTCATATTATGTGTATTAAAATAGAAATCTAATCGTTTGAAGCTAGACATTTATATGATGATTATTAATTAAAATCTAAATTTTATAAATTTAACGGGTTTTTGAAATTTAAATGAATTTTTTAGCAGATATTAAAGTTTGGCTAGAAATAACGTTAAATCCGAAAATAAACAAAAAATCGATTTAGCTTCAAACCAGTCCATTTCTTTCTCAACACAATATTCACTTCTTGCTACTGACCCTAAATGCCATCACGTAATAATTCAACGAATTCATAAACGAATGAAAATTCTTCATATAATAAAAGCGATCTGGGTCGCATCCATAAATAATGAAGCTCATTAAACTTACTTTGCACTTCCTCCTCCGGAACACAGTTAGTCCAATAAGAAAGCAACAGAGAAAACAGCATCCAAGTATAGCACCAATACTTGCTCTAAGTACAGATTCCGTTAAGAAGTCATCTTCCTCATCTGTACCGTAAATGCACATGCCATTCTTATCACACGAGCATCCGGTTGGACATGGTTTACAAGTAAAATTACTTCCATCACTCTCGATTTTATCGCTTGTAAATCCCTGAAATGTCTCATTTGGAATATAAAATCCATCGCGACATAAACACGCATATTTAGGGCGCGGGATAAACAATTGTGATGATGACAGTGGGGATGATGATGAATCGGAAGATGTGTCTGATTCGGTTGCTAAACAAAACGTTGTTTCACGATCACAGCTGCATACCAAACGCAATACAAAAGAGACAGAAAATTAATTTACTCACACGTTGAATGAAAGTTGTTTCAGGCTTACCTGTGCTTTTTACCAAATATTGGCTCAAGAGCATCATTACATACATCCTGGTCTGCCGGAATAAAAGCTGAAGCAACAGTTCTGATAGGAAATAAGAAAAAAAAACTTGCGTAATTGAAATGTGAAATTTTTTCAAGCTATTACTGCTATCGTTGTCCATTTTAAGGTGGGAAAATTGCACGAGTTAAATTGGGTTTGTTATTTTGTGTATTGTTGTGGAAACTTTTTATTGCTGCCATTGGCAGGATAATTTAGAAATTTTTGTTGTTGCTGTTTACTTCTTTTGTGTGTTAAAATTATGTGATAAACTTCAACAGGTGACAACAACAGACGTTTAAGATGTCTAGAGTTTTGAAGCTGTTTAGATTTTGGAATGAGTTTTTAAGTTTTAATCAGTTTTAAAACGATTGCAATTGAAATTTTTTACTTTTAGAATTTAAAACTAAGATTAAGAAATTTTAAGTTCCAATAGTCTTCAAATTTTGAGATAAGTTCTAAAATTTCTGTTCAAATTTAATTTCGAAACTCTGAACGCAAACTTATACGAAACTTAAAATTCGATTAATTCTGAAAGCATTTTCAACTCAGTGTGAGAAAGTTCCAATGAATACATCCCAAATGCACAATAGCAAACTCCCACAACATTTTAAAACCAAATAATGAAAAATAAACATTAAAAAACAGGAGAAACTATTTTTGCTTTTTTAAAACAGAAAAAAAAAATTCCACAAAATCCAATTCACATAAGAATAAAGGTATGAGTAGGAAGAAAGGTGGAGATAGATGAGCAACAACATATTGTTTAGTTTCATGCACACTGTTCGTGTTTATTGACCGTAAAAACAAAATTGAGTTTAGAAGAGTTTTTTTTGCAATTTATTTCATTTTTTGTGTGCAAAAATGGCTATTCAGTCCAAAATCCAACATTTGAACCATGAAAATCGAATTTTCTGGTTTTCTCTTCTTACTATGAACATAAAGTTTAACCAGCAAGGCTACACATATAAGCAACATGCATCATAAAAGTTCTATTGGTCGTTATTCTGGTAAACATGTTGAATTTTCAATGAAGCAATTCAGGTGAGAAATGAAAATTGATGGATTTTTACTAGATTTTACGAGTTCAGGTTAGTAATTTTTTTCAATTTTGGAGAATTGCAAAATGATTTGATTCCGAAATTGAGTTTTCAGATTTTACTTTTGGTTTATTGATTAATTTGCATGTGAAATTTTGTTTGAATTGGGAAGAACTGAGGTACGACACAATCTGTGCTTAAATCCACAAAATTTGTTTGAAATTCAAACAAAATTTTGAATATTCAAACGTAGAAACGTACAGCAAATAGAGAGTGGTTCATAAATTACAAACTGGATGCTTTTAAACTCTAATTTTTGATCAAATGCTTAACATCATTGTCAAACAGCCCCCAAGCCACAGTTTATTTCGTTCACAAAATTTGTGAAAATTGAATTTATCACTCTCTGAATTAGTGTTCAAAATCTCACCAAATTTTTCACGAGCCAAAATTTTTGTGAGCAAATTTTTTTAAAAATCTCACGAGCAAATTTTTCGTGAGCGGCTCACGAAAATTTTGCTCGTGAGATTTTCAGCTCGCGAGCCGAATTTTGCTCACGAAATTGCTCACGTGAGCCTACGTGAGCAAATTGTGACGTAATTTTTCAAAAAATTTCTATGAAAAAATTTATATGAAATTTCTTGTTATGGGATGGTTCTTTAGAATCGATGAAACTTTTGCCAGTGACTTTTCATGACTTTTCTGGATAATTTTGAGTATGCAGGACCTTCTTGTTCCTGAATCTTGACTTGTTGCTTGGATTTTTCCTTAATTTTGCTTAGAATCATTTCAAAAATCATAAGAGCCAATGATGGAAATAGATGTCAAAACATTCTTACAATATTTTTGAGACATCTCATATGGAACTGGTCATATCCAACTGGGTGGAACTGCCGAAATTTTTTTTTAATTTTTTATGCTTTATATACACTTTTGGGCAGGGGTTGGAACCAAGCACTTCCGTTACTTCCAGGTCCAATTTTAGATGCTTACTATGTCAAGAAGGTCTCGAAACATCAGGAAAACACAAAACTTTCAAATTAGAAAGCAGTTCCTTTGTGAATTATTGCATTTGTATAAAATTTCCATACATTTTCACAAAATCTTGCGGTTTATTGAAGAATATTTGAAGGAACTGCTGAATATTTTGAAAGTTTTGTGTTTTCCTGATGTTTCGAGACCTTCTTGACATAGTAAGCACCTAAAATTAGACCTGGAAGTAACGGAAGTGCTTGGTTCCAACCCCTGCCCAAAAGTGTATATAAAGCATAGAAAAATAAAAAAAAATTTCGGCAGTTCCACCCAGTTGGATATGACCAGTTCCATATGAGATGTCTCAAAAATATTGTAAGAATGTTTTGACATCTATTTCCATCATTGGCTCTTATGATTTTTGAAATGATTCTAAGCAAAATTAAGGAAAAATCCAAGCAACAAGTCAAGATTCAGGAACAAGAAGGTCCTGCATACTCAAAATTATCCAGAAAAGTCATGAAAAGTCACTGGCAAAAGTTTCATCGATTCTAAAGAACCATCCCATAACAAGAAATTTCATATAAATTTTTTCATAGAAATTTTTTGAAAAATTACGTCACAATTTGCTCACGTAGGCTCACGTGAGCAATTTCGTGAGCAAAATTCGGCTCGCGAGCTGAAAATCTCACGAGCAAAATTTTCGTGAGCCGCTCACGAAAAATTTGCTCGTGAGATTTTTAAAAAAATTTGCTCACAAAAATTTTGGCTCGTGAAAAATTTTGTTAAAATTTGAACACTACTCTGAATTTTTTACTCACTGAAAATCTATAATTAAATTTTCATAAAATCTTCACATCATAATCTAATCATTGTTTATTTCCACCAATCGATCTCAATCACTTCAATTGTTTTTAAAAATGAACTAATTTCCCACCACTTTGTTGCTAGTTAAATGATTCGTTTCGCTAACTTACAAATCTGTATTTTGTAATCATCTCCATGCTTTCCACTGTCTCTGTAGCTTTTATTTTTAAACATAAAACTGTTTAAAGTATTTACGAATGACATAAAGAGGAGAAAATAAAAATTGTTGATATAAAACAAGTTAAATTGGTTCTGAATGTTTTAAAAGTTTGGCAATTGAAAAGCATTTGTCGTTATTTGACTCAGATTTAAGGCTTAAAGTAATTTTTATTGTAAACTGAAACTATGTAAATTGAAAACCAACTGCATAAGATCTTATTAAGCCTGCATTTCAATAGATTTTTTATTTTGTAGACCCGGACCCTTCAAAACTGGATATCAAAAGTGAATAAACCCTTACCAAACCCCAATGCTAGCAAACAGAAATTTTTGAGTTCTTATTATTCGAACTTCGAATTTTTAAGGTTCTTATTTTTAAAAAAATTCGTTGTGAATTATTATTTTTTGAGTAATTTGTAATTTTAGTGAACATTCCTACTAGTTTTTATGATTAAGATAATCACTGTGATGAAATTGCATTCCTTAAATGTTTATGCTTTAAAAAAAGCTAGTTTAAAAATAAATTAAAAAATAACGGACTTTCTTATTTTGAAATTTTAAAAAAATACCGCGCGAAAATTTTGAAATTTTTTTGTTTGTAACGGACTCTGTTCTCTTTGCTAACATTGGACCAAACCGTGTCTCAATATCAAAACCTAACCTTAAAATTTATTACATCGACGAGTAAAAAAAGCTCAATTTTTTCGTGTGTTTCTTTTCCATAGAAAAACTTTTGCCATTTATGTGAGTACTACATACATAAGCACATAAAAAGGAAGAAAGTACAATATATATTTGAAAAAAAAAATTTCAAATGGTTTTCTTGCATGAGGATATTTCCCTTTTTAGTTCCCCCATTCCCACCATCACTCCCACTCCACTCATTTTATTGATTTTTCATGAACTGACGACTGTTTGTAAGGATGTGCAGTATGATAAAAAAAAGAAACTTTTGTATTGAAGCGAAAAAAAGCAAATCATTTGTTATGCTGAAATTGTCAAAAGGAATTCTTTAGAAAAAAAGCGATTGAATTACAATACGGAATGTATTTGTTCCTGGATATAATTCTTTCCGTCTCACTCACTCAAAATGATGTTTATTGAAAGTTCCTCAAAACTGCGAACAACATACCATTATAAATGGAAATCATTTTCATTGAAAATTGGGAGGCATCTAAAATATGTTATTTGCCCAGATGTTTTTCTTTCTTGTTTTTCCTTGAAATTGGCATTTCTGCTTTTTTTGTGTGTTTTTTGTTTATTTTTAGTCGTATTTGGAAATGGCAAGAGTGAAGAAGAAAGTAAACAAATCAATTGCTAATTAAGTCAGAGTTTGTTTTTTGTTGGTGAATAAAGTTCAAATTTGTTTAAATTCCAATGTTTTTAAAGAACACAGATAGTGTATGTTTAAAGAAGTTGAATATTTCTTGTGAATTGATATTTCCAATTTCATTTAAAACAAATAAATTAATTTAATTGAGCTTTTAAAGTAAAAGTTTATGAAAGCAAAAATATCAAGAGAATTTTAAGCCTTTTACATTTGATTTGAATTGGTAAGAAAATTTGTAAAGTTTTTCATTTTAAATGTAATTAAATAGCTTGAAAAAGTGTCTAATAATTGAATTAAAGTATCTTTTGATGGTTATTTACTGTTTGCACTGAAGATTAAAAACAATAACAAAGGTAATAAGGGGCATTCAACTAGTCAACTTACGAAAATTCAAATTTTAAATGTCTGTTAAAATGGAAATCTTTTCATTGCAGGTCAGTTACGAACAAAAAAAATCTTAAAAATCATAATTTTATATCAATAAAATCCAACGTTACGAATCTCACTCCTTAAAAAGATTTACATCCCAAGCACACACTTTAATGTTAACCACTAAAGAGATTTGCCGAAAAAAATAAAAATCACATCTTGATGATTCCTCTCCCGTTTTCAAATGAATAAATGGACACATTTAAATCCACTTTAATATCCATCTCTTCAAAATTTACAACCTACTCACTTCAGTGAAACATTACCGACCTTATACAAATAATGAATTATGTATATGTGCCATTTTAAATCGTACGTGCCTATCGATATGCAAATAAGGATTTTTTTTAAAACATGTGTGCTTTTAATGTGATGACATTAAGCTAATATATCCTCATGAGTAAAATGCCCATTGAAACCATACTTTTATTAGCTTTGTTCACAATGCTCTATTCATTGTGGTCACTTCTTGTTTTATTACTGTGCTGATTGAATTAGTTCAATAAAAATTACTTTTGCACACAAACTGCATATTTCAAAAGAAAAGCTATTGACTTGAGAAAAAATTAAAAAAAAAATAAATGAATCATTGACAAATGCTAATCCGAGCAGCACACAACAAAGTCGCCTAGGAAATGCTTCATCACTATGTTAGTGAAAAAACGTCAGCCTTCTCATTCAAACATACAAAATGAATTCAATTTCTGTTTCTAAAATATCAATTCAATTTAATCCCATTCTCGATATTGCCGAGTCATCAAAAACCAATTCCAATACTCCCATTATTTCCTCCTAAAAGATTCACAAATCAATTACATTTTGTGATCAAAAAATCTAATAGGATCCCCAACTAGAAATAAAATAAAATATTCTCTTTTAATGTCCAAACAAATGTTTCGATTCTATTGTCAAAAAATCTGCTTCCAACAACAATTTTAAAAGGGATATGTACAAGATGGCAAAATCAAAATTTACGATCGGATTTTATATTATTTGATGGAAGCAAATAATGACACACATCCTTTCATGTCATTCTCATCGTTGTTGCAATTGTCGTTGGATGTATGAAATAGTTCTTTTAGCATGTAGATGTTGCCAAATAAAAGAAAATACGAATGCTTTTATTGAACATTATTGAAGTCATTCTGTCCTACTTCTTACATTCATTCATTCATCTACCCATAAATAGACTGAGATATATGACGCTATTAAGGATGGAAAAGATATCAAGAAATGACATGAATAATGTGCATCAGGCGAACTACCAATAATAGTTGATATTTTGTTCTTTTCTCGTGTTTGTGAATGATAAAGGGTGCAGGACGACATGCAATGGATTCGAATGGAACAGCAGTTGTTTCCGACTTGTGAGAACAGTCTTCATGGACAATTATGGGTCGTTTGGATATTATGTAACATGTCTTAGATGGGAATTGAGTCAGACTTTAAGACTTTGTTTCCCTCGAACAATTGTGGGAAGAGTGATGAGCAGTTTTAACCGTTACATAGTATCCGAATACACCCAAACATAATAGAAACAATTAATCAAAATACAATACTCACTTGATGTTCTGTACAACAACAGTCACACTAAATGGCCAAAGCCAACGTCCTCGCAATGGTCCACAGTCTCGAAATGGCGCACCCCAAAATTGTGCACCATCCGTTTGATTCCATGCGAAGCCAAGCTCTCGCCAATAAGTTTGTAGGAATGTATGATTTGTTGTACTTTTATTATCAACTTTATCACGAAATTGTACAACAGCTATTGAGGCAAGTGGTGCAGCAAGAGCGAATGCCAAAAGATTTTCATCTTCCTTAAGTGCTTCTATCGCTAATAAATTTGCTTGCTTATGAAACAATTCAACTTTCGATGGCGGATACTTTGATGTGCTCTTACTATCCTTACTCGCATCCGAAATGTATTGACCAAGTTTTCTTGCTGCCTCTATGGTAACATCTGAAGCTTCATAAAACTGCATATAAACGAAAAACGAAAACGAAAAAGTTTCTTAATTAATTTTTTTGTGTGCTCTCTAAACTTACTTTCCATTCATTCATGTGAACGGTTTGGATGAATATTAAGGGGTTATATTAATTGTTATACACATATTGATGTAGCAAAAGTTTGCGTAATTAGATCTTTTTGGCTCAAGTTACTCATGTTAATAATGACTTGTTATGAGGAACACGCTCTTCTTCACATCAAAAGAAATGAAAAAGTTTCTCTGCTTGCCAATTATAAAAATATTGAATTTCCGTCTGACGAAAAACTTTTTATGGAAATAACGAAAGTCTACAACTTTCAATAAGCTTTATCCATTGAAAATTTAAGGCAGAATAGTAGCCAGAGTAAGGATCTAGGTTTTAAAATATTTCGAATTTGAAATTCGTATATGGACTTCTTATTTCTTGCTAATGACTTCATGCTGCAACAAGATTCAACAATATTAAGGCTAAAATCGCGAAATAATTGTAAGATTTGTTTAAATCAAAATAGTTTGATTGAGCCAAACTCATGACAAAATTCAACAATTTTAAAACAGCAAGAGCCAAAAAGAAAAACTTAAACTATCCACTAAATAGGTCAATTTATTGTCATTTTGCATCACAAGCAAATATTAAAATTAAAATTCAATTCACTCACCGGCTCTGGTGGAACTTCATCAAATGCTTTAGTCTCACACGTTGCCAATTGATTTTCAGCATCGTTTATAAGCTCCTGTTGCTGTGTTTGCAACAAAGGTTCAACAGTCAATACGCCATAGATTGGAAATAAAGCAACAGCGAGGAATGTGATGAGAATTAATCGATTTGAGATGTTGATAGTCAACAGTTGATGTCGAGCGCTAATATCTAATGGATGAAATGAAAAATAATGGGGTTTGAGATGAAACCTCATCACCGCTTTATATTTATCGCTTTGTTTTCTAAGTTTAACATCTGTGAATGAAAGAGAGAAAAAGGAGTGATAATATTTATATAGTCTATAGTTGTCTAGTTACTGCTAGTGATGGGTTTATGTGCTTTATATGCAATCATTGTGAATACCTTCCATTCATACGAGAGAGATAATGTTTGCAATAAAACAATGAATTTATAATTAAATGAACTTTTAGCTTTATGATCATTGATCTGAATTTATAGAAACTACAATGATTGTAAAGGTAAGCATAAAAGCTTTTCAAAAATGGTTTTCAATAGTAAAATTTTGTGAGCCACAGTTTGAATGAAAGAAAGATATTACTTGAGTGCTTAGATTGATGAATGTCTGAAAGTACTGTTTGTTTACTTCCACAATTACTTATTTTTATTCAAAAATAGAGTCTTTTAATAAAACTTTTTATGTAGGAAATGGAAACAGTTTCTCAAAAATATCATTTTAAATGCTGTAAACATTACGAATTTACATTTATTTCGATATTTCATTATTTTCTTGTGGGAAGACTTTTTTCTGCGACATCAAAATATTTTTCAGTGAATTTAAACGAAGTTGGTGCACATTGTATGTAAGCAGATTAAAGCAAAAATCAAGAAAGTTGGGAAAAACTTTAATTTGTTAAAAATTTCGATAAGCGGGTCACAAAATTTGAAATTTAACGTTTCTCGAAATTTCAAATGTTAACAGTTCACAAATATTTTTTTAAAACAAAAACAAGGGCTGTTCAATAAAGACGTCCAAAATTAACAGTCATTTGTTAAAAAAGAACAATTGATTTCCAGGAATTTTAATTATTATTTTCTTGTTGACCCCCCCCCCCCCCCCCTGGACGTCATAAGTAAACACCGCCCTCAAAGAAAATTTGACAATTTCTCAAGTTTCCTTAAAAGGCTTGAATTCATTTGCTCAGGTCAATTTTCTAATAATTAAATTAAAAGCAGGAAAACCAAAATGTACCCAAATGATTATTCAAGCAAGAAAGTTTACAAGACGACAAAACTATCCCATCACGTCCACAGAAAAAGTTTCTACCTCATTCCCATCAATTTTCTGTTTATTTATTACATGAAAATTCATACAAATTAATTTATTTCCAACTTCAATAAAGATGAGCCCTTCCAAATGATATTATAGTACAGCAAAATAAACTCCATCATCATCATAGAAAATTGATGAAGAGTAAAATTGATTCGAACGTCATAAAGGACATGAAAGAAGTCTCGCAGAGTAAACATAGGTATGCCAACATTTCCAACTGTTTCTTTCGAGATGAAAGTGCTATTTACTCAACTGCTCAACGAAAAGCGAAATTGAATTTTTTTTTCTGTGTGTTTATTTGGGATGAATTGTTAAGTATTTGAACTAATTTAAGGCATTTCTGTTGATGGATTCTCTTTTGGTGCTAGACGGTTGCTAATTTAAGAGAGCTATGGTTTTGGTTGTGGATTTTTGGAGCCAATTCGAATTTTTGTGGTCTTTTTTAAAGGTATAAGCTAGTGTGCAGCATTTAGACTTGTTTAGAATTCTGTTGCATACCAAATTGTTAAATGAGATCAATCCTTTTACCATCCTCAAGTTCCATTTTCGATATATTTACATGGATTTTTGTGAAAGTAAACAGATATGAAGACGGGGACGGCTTGGCGCCAGCTTAGCGTTAAATTTGAAAATCTTTGCAATTCACAAACCACATGATGTACTGATACTCGTCTTATTTATGTCATTCAAGATATAGACAAACCAATTGAGCTACCATTAAATAAATTTCCAAATGCATATCTGCTCATCAAACAACCCATTCCATTAACACCCACTACTGTTAAATGACCTATCAATAACACAAAAGAAGACATCCATCCAATAATAATATTTACTGAATATCAAGCAAAACCTCTTCTTTAGGCTCACTATCTTTTGTTTACAAAAAGTATAGACGTCATTAATATCATGTCCTTTGTGTATCACTGATAAAAAGAAGGCAAGACTAAATTAAATTACATGTTGTGCACAAGAATAAATACAGAACGTAAAGGAGCAAGGAAAAAGCACCTTATTAGTGAGTCCGATACATTTTCATTAGTCTAATTGACAATTACTCGAAACTGTTATGTACTGAACTGTGTGCAGAGTCTAGTAATCAAATAAATTGGGATTTTAACTTAGTCTATATCCTGTCTTGTTTGGTTCTGTTCGATTTTGAAATTGAAGATTATTGTGGATGAATGTTAATTGGAATGATTGTTACTTATTGATGCAGATTAATAAATTAGCATAGCCTTTCATAGCTGGAAACCTATTTAAAGACAGCTAGACAAGCCTTTAAATTTTAAAAAACCGTTAGAAAATAATTTGAAAGAATACAAATTTGTCGAAACAATATTTGAAATTCAGATAACCGTTAAAATGTCATTTAATAATGCGCTCTTTTGAACGTTGGCAACTTCGCTAAGCTTCCTACTAGTTTTATTTTCAGGTTTTACTTATTTTCGTTCAATTACATTTCCTTCTCGCTTTTTGAAGCTCATACGTAAAAGTTTTCTTGCTCTTTTCTTTTCATTTGCAAAATGTTTACATTTACAGCATCTAAAAAGGCTTTGGCTGGTGGAAGATGCTTAATCACCGTAATGAATTTAAAGCTCCTTCTTCATTATTTTCTATATCAACTTCCTTATTCGTATCTTCAAAAACACAACGTAATTATATTGTTGAATTTTATGCTTAATAATTAATTATATATTAAAATATAAAAGAAGAAAATTTTTGTACAACATAAATCTCTTAATTCATAAGGTATAGCACGAACGTGTGTGATAGATAATTTACATAGACTGTTGCTTAATTGTCTAAAACGCGTTTTATATTTTTCGGAAATTTAATTAAAAATTTCTACATGTCACATTATATGAGGAAGGGTTGTAAAAAATTTCATGTACACGCATGTTTAATAGACATAGAGTGGAGGTAAAAACTGTTGAACCAGAAACAAATTGTAATTGATTTATAAAATTAATTTGAAAGCTCAACTTTTTAATTGAATTTCATGGAAAATAAAATTATTGTTAAAAACTTTAAAACTGATTTTTGAGGGGAAATTTTTGAAATGGAAACTTTTACAGAATTTTTTAAATTTAAAAAATTGAAAATTTCAAAAAAAATATTAGATGTTTAAAATTTGAAAGATCTTTAACATTAAATTTTATTCACATTTTTGAAAATTACAAAAATTTAAAATTGAAATTTTAATGTAAGTTTAAAAAAATATTCCAAAAAAATCCAATTTCAAAAAATTCCAATTCCCACTCATAAAAAAGCAAGTAATTTCCATTTCAAGTACCACAAACTAACAATGCAAAGCTGTAAACATAAAATTTAATATTCATAGTTGTGCATGAATATAGTCATGTGTAGAACAACAGAAAAATTTCTATACACTAAACAACCAACTTGTATTATGAATAAAACACAATGATTTATACATCATATAACAAATTAGAAATTTATTAACCCACTCATCTCCAATAAAGCACTTTTTGAAAGTTCAAAAAATTTCTACACTCTTTCAATCAACAGAGAGAAAAGGAAGTGAAATTTTACTTTTTGTTTTGTTTTATAAAGTTTTCCTTTGTTTGCGAAAGTTTCGCTTCTAGTTCTGAATTTTTTAGCAGTTTTATGTGAGTAGTTTGATTTCTTTTGTCAGTTTGTAACAAATATTAAGATCTTTAGTAAGATTTTGAAATAATTTTTGACCGTTTTTTAAAAATATTTTCTAACCGTTATTTTTCAAAAATTGCAAAATCGTTATATTTTAAATTAGGTGACTTTGTAAAACATGCGGTCTAAACATGCAAACTTAGTGACTTTTTTCTCTTGAAATTTTTCTGTTAAACAAAAAGCAGACATGGAGAAATATTTACAAAACAAGAATAGATTTTTATCGATAGATATGGAGCAAGTAAGCGAAAAAGAAAAACATTTGCCTTTTTTTATGTTATCGATAAATCGGAAGTTAGTGTCAAACTTTATTCTACTTCCTTTTCTCATATCGTACGTACAATAATCATTTTAAAACAAAACATTTTGTTTAAAAAAATATTATCCCATTTTCTATCGATAGACATTTTAAGACATCCCATTTAGTATTTTTCGTTTTATTTGCAGTTACTATTATTAGTCTTATGTATAATGCAAGACAAAGCTATAGCTGCTGTCCATTTTTTCCGATAACGAAGGATTCTCACGTCACAGAGCTTTTACGTTTCATTTACCCCAAAGATGTAGAGCACATACATATGTATGAATAAAAATGGGATCTAAAAGAGCGAAAAGTTGCCTTCGAACATCGAAACGAGAAGCATGTAAATGATTTTTTAAGAATATACATGAATAAAAGAACCAAATAATGTTTTTCTATGGTTTTTCTTAAAGATTCTTTCTAACTTATCGATGTATACATATTCTTTTGTTCTTTCCCTTTTTCCTTCTTATTAATCCGGACGAGAAGCAAAAAGAAGACGTGAACTTTTTTTGTGAATCACAAAAGGGACGTTCAACTTGTGACATGCATAAGAAGATGAATGAGAAACTTTTATTTTTCGCAAAAAAAAATCCACAGCGTAAATGTTCCCATGCTTAGTTCAATGCTCGATTTTGTACTGTGTGCTGGAAAACAAATAAAAAAATTCCAATTTTGTAAACAACATTAATGAAATGTTCAAATGTCACCGCAAGGATATGAATGAAGGGACATTATTGCTTCAAAATTGCAAAAGTTTGTGGATATAAATAAAAAAAAAATCATTTTTGCAATAATGTGCTTTAAACTTTGCATGAAATCAAATTATACGAGGGAATGATTCAAGGATATTAAATTTTTTTTGAATTGAATGCTTTTTATTAAAGCTTTTTTAATAAGGAGATTGAAGTTCCATTGTAGCTCAATGATTATGAGTTTTTATTCCAGAAAGTCTGTAAAGTTGACTTATCGACCCCCCCCCCCCCCCCCCCCCATTACTTATCATTAAATTTGAACGAAGATAATTTTTTGTTTGAATTGTCTCAGAATTCCAGATATTTAGATACTCAGAATATTGAACGGCCGAATAGCTCCGCCACTTTCAAGTTTTATTGCAGTCTTATTGGCACCAAATTGCTCTTTTTATAAAAAAAAATATATTGTGGATCTAATGCATTTCTTATTAACTACATCAAATTTTTTATTTACTTATAGCATGTCACAAGACATTGAAGCAACAAAAACTTACTAAAATTATGTTCTCACTCAACTTAAATTTCATTAACACCATTCACAGCACAATAACACTCCATTGCCAAAAGAGCAATAGCATGTAAAATACCGCATAAATTTCTTACGCTATAAAAATTTTCTCATTAATAAATGAATGAAAGAAGCTTGAGAATCTTCAAAATTTATCGCAACTAGCATTAATCAACTTGACAAAAATTGCTTAAATAGAACGAACGAGTTTCAAATACTTTGCGCATCTAAGCATCATTAAAATGCAGCTGTGAAAGAAGAACTTTTATTTAATGAATGAAAGCAATTTGCTATGAAAATTTATTGCAAAGTTTATGTCTTGATAGCTAATCAAAATGTATAATTCTCGTTTTATAAATTTGGTGATAAATAATGAATATTTTGATAGCTTTAGGGTGTGAAAAATTATTGAAAACTAGATAATTAGATATTGAGTTACGAGTTCATGAAAATTAGATTCTATAACAACAGCATAAATGAGATGATGCAATGTAAAATCGATCAGTTTGGTAACTGAATTTGGTTTTCTCAAGAACTTGTTTCTGTTCACTTTCTTAGGAATGAAATCTCCTTTAACTTTATCCTCTCAGAAATGAAATTTTATCTTCTTGGAAAATAAATTTGAATCTCTCCGAATAAAAATTTGATCCTCTCAGAAATATTTAACTCAAAATTGAAATCTAATCGTTCAAATATAAAATATATCCTCTCAGAATCAAAAAATCATCCGCTCAGATGTGAAATGTATCCTCTCAGTCCCCTTAACCCTTTCAAAATAATCATTTGTGACTTAAAAATATAATTATTGATTAATAAATTTTACAGAACATTCCATGAATGTCGTCATTCTTGAGTAAACATCAGGCATGAGGCAGGGAGAAGTATAAGTAAATAAAAGTTTCAATTTACTTTTGGGTCCCTCTCGTATACACTTAATTGCCTTTTCTAGTAAATAATAAACAATGCAAAGAGAGAGGAAAAATACTTCATAACATTTTCTCGCTTACCAAATGTACAAATAATATTTCAAGGCAGCCCAAACAATTGTAGCAAATGCTGGAAAATGAAGATATTTTATGGGTTGTCGAGTTGAAGAATTTACAAAAATTACTTTTAATGATCCATCACGTCTGTTCTCTCAATAGCCATTTACATGCAAAATTATTTCTCATCAAGAAGGAACCAAAAAAAGGTCCTTCAAAGGCTTTCCTATAAGTGTCATAAAAATTCCCCAAAGTATAGTCATTAATAGTTATTTCAAAAACAATTAAGTTATTAATAACCCAAATTGGTGGTTTGAGGCTCACATTTAATGTCTTCGAAGAAAAGGTTTATAGCCGAAAGTTTTTGAATATCATCCACAAAATCCACACCTCTTAAAAGCTTTTGAGAATTCCTTGATGGATTTATTTTTAAGATTATCAATAATATATTGTAAGAGGTGCTTAAATAGGGCACAAGGGGTGCAGCCAGAAATTTTTCGAAAATTTTCCAAGAAAGAATGCAAACAAAAAACTGATTTTGATAGGACATCTGTCAGTTCATCATTTGCTCAAAGTACTGCCATAGATATGCATGAATAATAAGATTTCTCAAAATTTTAGACATGACAGGTTAAAAAGATCATCGTCTTCACACTTTAAATACTGCTATGGGATTTGAAGGAACTAAAAGGTATTAAAATGTGTAAAGTGAAAAGAGCATTGGCTAAGACTTTTCATCTTTTAATAGCTTTTATGGAATATTTGCCTAGCCTAATGTTAATAAACTTTAATATTATTATATTAAATTATTATATCTTTATAGATTAAAGTTAATATTGTAGCCTTAAATTTTTGGCCAAGAAGTGTTAACGAATTGAAGAATTTTGCGGCCTGTTCGTTCGATGCGAGGAAAATTCAAATATTTTTTTTTCTGATTTATAGATTATTTTCGGATTGAAAAAGTGGATTATCGGATCGGTGGATAATCCAGCTTAGTGAACCAGGCTGTTGATTCTTACGAGAATTTAAGAAAAAACTAAATTAACATTTTAGCCTAAAACTCGTGTGCAATTATTAAAGTTTCACAAGTTTCTGCATCTTGTAGTGGAACACATCGTGGGTTCGAAACTCACTTAAATAATTAAACAATTAACAAATTCAGTAATTATTGCACTTTTATGGATTAATTAATTTTTTTAATCATTTGCTCTAGATGAAACCCAAATGAATCATTTTAATTTACTTTAATATTGATCATTAAAATGTCCATACAAAAATTAATGCTCTACAACTTCAGAGATAGTGCAAAAATAACAAATAAAGATTGGAATGGTTTTATTGATGCAGCAATATACAGCACATTATTTAAATCCCATAAAAAAACTTTAATTATTTTCAATATCGATTTATAATCTATTACTCACTCTATCATTGTCGAGTCCATTGAAGTATGCAGCCGGTAATGTGTTGTAAAGTATAATCCGATTTCGAGAATTTTATTTTATTTATATGTCAATAAATAACAACAAGTTAATAACATGACATGATATATCATCAGGGAAAAATTAACATGTAGATTTCTTTTTGTTCCACACCATTAAATCCTTAATTAATTTTTTACTTTTTAATGTCAAATTTTCACTTATAAAATTTTTTATAATTCAATTTCATAAATTTTTTTAAAGCACATTTAACATTTGTAATTTCATTTAAATCACATTTAATTTATTATTAATGTTATTTGTATGAGTTTGTTATACTTAATATTATTTACACTTGTGAATTATTCACCATTTACATGTTTGATATAGTTGAAATATTATTATTAATTATTATAACAAAATTGCTTTTATATATCCTGTAAAATATGCAATAAAATGAATTTTTTCATTAGCATCCATTTTGATTTTCAACTTTATGTACTGTGGTTGGTATTTATGTCAGATTAAATAATTTAATTGTTAATTAAAATCATTTTCGACATAATTATCATGATGATGATAAATGAAGTGCATTGTAACGAGGGTTGGATAATAATTGAATTTTTGACATTATTACATCGCATTTTGATGGGCTGTAGAGTAAATCCTGCATGACAATTAGCTTGTTCAAGATATTGAGATTTTTAAGATATATTTTAAAATGTTTAGGAGTTAAAGATATTTTTTAACAAAACAAAGCCCAAGCCCATCTATTCGCTCCTATGTTGTTGACTCTTCACCCTTTAGTATACGCTGTATAATCAGAGATCAAAGCCGATTTTTTCGGCTTAACTCAATTTTTGATTTTTTTGATAGAAAAAAGCTATTTAACACCCATTTCAAGTATTTAAATTGAACTTTACATGCTTTACTATGATTCTGTGTAATATTTTGTCAGCATGTAGCTATAGTAAGCTCAGAATTTCAAGTTAAAGAATGTTAAGCCGAAATTTAAGCCGATCGGCTTAAAATCGGCTAAATTGAAATTCTGAGCTCACTATAGCTACATGCTGACAAAATATTACACAGAATCATAGTAAAGCATGTAAAGTTCAATTTAAATACTTGAAATGGGTGTCAAATGGCTTTTTTCTATCAAAAAAATCAAAAATTGAGTTAAGCCGAAAAAATCGGCTTCGATCTCTGTGTATAATCATTAAATTATCTGGAAGCTCTCAAACAAAGAATTTGGAACTAAACAACATTAAACTAACTTTGGAAGAATCCCAATAATAATAATACATTCCAATCCATTACACCCAATTATTAACTTCCTTTATCCACCAATCACAGTGACTTGAACTAAATTATCTCCAATTTCTGCAAATTCACCTGTTTCCTGACTCGAACCTTCAATTTGATTTTATTTCCTTCATCAAATTCCATTCCAATATAGCTAATTACAAACACAAAGAAACAAACTTTTTTTTTGTGTATCTGCCATGAGCAATTGCTGATTTTCTTTCTCGGTACATGAAAAAAGTAGGCGATCGAAGAGAAAAAAAAAAGTTTTAATAAAGTACAACATGGAAATATGCAAGGAGGGGTTTATTCATAAATTATGTCTTATCATTCTAAAGCAGTTTTGTTACACTCGAGTTTCACATTCTTAGTTGAACTCCACCTTGATACAACCCGTTTAAAAAGTTTGTCACAAAACAATTACAATTTGCATTGTTTGACATTATTTATGAATTGTCCCCAAAATAAAAAAGTTTTTTACTGTCGGAAGAATGAGAAACATTTTCTGTTTGTATTTTTCTATGTTCTGTTTAGATTTTATTTTATTTTTTCATATCTTCTAGGCACTCCTGCATAGATTTTACGAATATATGATTGCATGCGTGAGGAAGCTTTCTCCACCATATTTATTTTCCCTTTTTTTAATCCCAGCATAAAATGCGGTCGTGGAGAAATATGCGAGAGAGAAAGTTATGCTTGTTATCGCATGATGAGGATCGTGATGATGATTTTTCCATGAAAATCGTTTACTGAAATTTATACACACACACACACACACACTGTACGCCAACATGTAGAGATAAATATCAAAAACCAATTTATGTTTCTCATCACAACAACAACAACAAGCATGTACCGACAGCAAACTGAAAAAAATCTTAAATACTCTTTTATGCGGCCGTTATCTCGTGTACATCCATCTTATACATCTGTTTAAACATTATATCTCTTCCTATTATCCTACCATTGATGAAAGAGCCGTCATTTTGTTGTATACTCAACATAATATATGATGGCTATGCATGCAGCTTTATACACATGCACATTATCTTTTAGCGATTCTATGTTTTCGATTGTCGATAAGCTTTTTGATTGATTTTATGTGAGTTATTATCGTAAGTTTAAAAAGTTTTTGAATGCTTTTTGGTAAAGGAGGAGGATTGAATCTGAGTAAGCTTACTGTAACCGAGCATTAAAGCAACAGTCTGGACTTGGATTCGGTACTTTTAATCAAAAACTGATTTTCGAAAATTCGAACTCAGAAGAACTTGTCGTAAAGTTGTACTAGTTTTCGAAAAATTTTGAACCAATTTCGAAAACTTTGAATTTATTTCGAAAGTTTTGCCTTAAAGATTAAAATTTTAAATGAATATTGAAGAAAAACACTTTCAAAAGAACTTTTAAGTGTTTCTTAAATGAAAACCTCAAACATCTTTAGAAAATTTTAAAATCTCAAACAACAATAATCTTGCACTAATTGCTCTTAAAACTCACAGCAAATAATGTGTTTGAAATCACGTAGCACAAACACATCTCACAAATAACCCCATTTCTCTTCAATAATACATGTGGATTCCATAAAATTTCATAATGAAAACCATACAGCAATTATTTCTGTTGAAGAATTTTTTAATTAATTGCTGTAACCGATGACAACATTACATTCATTCTATTTACAACACAATTAATTTATAGGTTTCATCAACATCTGTAAAAACTTTATATAATTAAGACAATGTTCGTGATGAAAGTATGAATTCTTATTTATTTTATATGACCTTTTGTTTTAATTGTAGGTGTTCTTGTTGGATTAAATAACGAGCAATTTGCTTGACAAAAAGCACATCAAGAAGTTCTTATAACACTCGTGTTGGAAGATATTTCTCTGGATGCTTTGGAAATTGAAACAAAAGTATTTACATATGTTAGAGGATGGTTCTCAAGAATTTTTTTTTTTTATTTGTGTTTTGAAAATTTTTTCGTTGTTGAAAATTGAATAAAAAAGAATATTTGAACTTTTATTTGTTTTCAATTTCGAACAAAAAACTCAAATTTTATCAGGAATTGAAAACATTTTATAAGCAAAATTAACTTAATAGAATTCTCTAGAGATTTCATAGATAAAATTCCAAATTTTCGTCCATGACCCACTCAATCGATTGATGAGAACCTATTCAATAATTAATTTATTCACCATATTCCCAGACATCCTACATCATCCCAAAAAAATATCAGAACCCCCACAAAATGTAATATTTTATGTAGTAACAATTGTATATGCAGCAACTGATGTTGATGATGATTGCTTTTGCTGGATCATCATAATTTATGACTCCATTTTACAGCTTTTTTGTGTCGTTTACATTTTTTCTCTCGCTTATACATTTTAATTATGGCAACCTTCAAAATTATTTCCATAGTTGTTGTGCAGCAAATCAGTTGGATGAATTAAGACAAAGCTAACATTTCAGTTGAAGGTTTTTCACAAATGAATGACATCCATCTCTGTCTGTCACAAGTGAATAATTCCTTAAATATGAGAAATCACTCAAATCCTTTATAGAAACTTAATTTCTTATAATTATCCGAAATTCTGATCCCTAAACCCTCGCATCCAAAAATATCAAAGAAAAAATAAAGAAAGAAAACTTTTCTTCGCAAATTCTTACGGATCTTCATCATGCCTGTATGTCAGAATTTTGGATTTGTTTAGTAAACTTTTTAGGGTATACGATCCTTAATTTAGAAACAGACGAAGAAGATTTTTTTTTCTTTCTTCAAATTTTATAGGCCCATCAAATGTGAGCAGACGGAATAAAATTAAACAATTTTGAACCGCAAAGTAGCAAATCATCTTTGCCTCAGGATTTATCTCCCATTTGAAAGATTCACGTCAAATTTAACAAGCTCATCTTGAGATATACTCGTAAGTAGAAGTGATAAAATATTCATATTTATTCATGTTAAGTATATTAATATTTCAATCTGTATGTAGATATTTCAATTGTAAGTGCGCACACAAATTCCCCTATGGCATGTCATACATGAAATGAGGAATAATTTACCTCTAAAAAAATTCTCACTTTGTACTCAAGGGACAGCACTTAATGAAATAATCTAATGAAATAAATTGAGCTCTTGAGAGTAACTAATGGAATTCGCCAATCTTCATTAAATGTTAATTAACAAGAAATTTTTTCTACTCCTCTTTTGCTTGCCTTTCTTTAATATTCCACGCCTATCAAGCCATTCTATATTAAATAATCAGTCAATGTAAATAGATGAATGGGAGAAACTGAAAATGAAACTAATTATTTTCATATTGATATTTATTATTAAATTTCAATAGGATTTTTTCATTTCATGGACTGTGTATTTGTGTGGGTGGCAAGACTTGGAATGTCTTTTGGAGGTTCTGAATCTAAATTTTATCGATACTATTTCAAAACTAAGTTTGCTGAAAGTTCTGGTGGGTTATTTGAATTTCGATTGTAATATTTTTCGAACTCATTTTAGTGAATTTTTGAATATAGTTTTCACAAAATTATTCACATTAGATATTCGATGTTTTTAATCAGCTTTATTGATTACTGCCATGTTTTTCTATCAATTTGAGTCCTTAAATCAACGGTTACATGAATATTGAGCTTAACATTTCCAAATCAGAACTTCTAATCGGGATTCAAAATGGCGGGAACTTATTTCTCTTTAAAATTCAAATTTATCTCGTATTAACGGTTTTTTACTTGACATTATAAAATTTCCACACTGTTTTATTACAATAAAAAAATATAATAATTCAAAACCTCCCACACATTTTCCCGATCAATTTATCTATTATTAATGCCTACCATAGATTATATAAAAATATTTTCAGTAA